AAGGAGTGAGTTCCCAGATGCCAGTCAGTTCTCATAAGTGTTTGTAAATCAATGTCAATTCTGCTGCCGAGCGTCAAAATGTTGATTACTCTGATGATGATAGTGGTGATGGTTGTAGTCGTGGTGATGCTGGTGGTGGTGATGGTTGTAGTCGTGGTGATGCTGGTGGTGGTGATGGTTGTAGTCGTGGTGATGCTGGTGGTGGTGATGGTTGTAGTGATGGTGGTGGTGGTGATAGTGGTGATGGTTGTAGTCGTGGTGATGCTGGTGGTGGTGGTGATTGTTTGGGTTGTGGTGGTGATTGTTTTAGTGATGGTGACTATGGTTGTAATGGTGGTGGTTGTAGGTTGTTTGTCTTTTGTGACCAATAACACCAACGCTTGTAATGCCCATCTACAAAGCTAACCAGACACCCAGATCCCCCTCCCCCACCCCTTCCCCCAAAGGCTAATCATGACTATAGCTTGACTCCTTAGTGTGTCGTCCAAGAAGAGACTATGACAGATCATTACACCATGGACTTCATCAGAGCGTCGTATACTTAGTTAACTTAGAGCGAAGGCGAGCAAGCACTAAACACATTTAAGTTAACATAGGGAAGATCAGGGGGTAGAAGAAGGGGTCCTGCTGTTCTTTTTGGTCAGTTCAGATAGTTTTTTTTTTAGGGGGAGGGGGGCGTCGATAGTGTTTTGACCTGAGGAGGTGGAGGTTGGAGGAGTCAATTTTACATTATAGGAGTTGAAACACAGACCAGGATCTCCCTCTTCTGCTTCATCTGACTAATATGAAGTACTTGAGACTGTCCTGCCATCACGTCATATCAAAAGACACACAAAATAGGGTCGAAGGATCTACCTGTTTGAACATCTTCGTGTGAGTTAATTACATGTTGTGTGAGAACCAGGGGAGAGTCGCCGCTGTAACAAGCTGTGATTAAGGGAAGGAGACGGTGGGGGGGGAGGAAGTGTCGAACTTCTTTAATAACTGTATCGCCTCTGACCTTGATGAAGACGTTCTGGAGGTTTTTACTTTGACATAAGATTTCGTGAGTGAGGGACGGTGCTGACTGCCTTGGGGGATCCTTTACACAATTTGTCTTGGGGGTGTGTGTGTGTGTGTGCGTGTGCGTGCGTGCGTGTGCGTGCGTGCGTGTGCGTGCGTGCGTGCGTGTGCGTGAACAATATGACCCTGTCTACAGAACGTTGATAAATACAGTAGTATGATCAGGTGGTGACGACATACAGCACACCAACACTCAGTCTACACCAAGATGAAGGAACTAGTTATATCCTGTAGAAGGTCAAGTGTAATATGGATTATCCTCATAAATAATCCTCATGATGTACGATGTTGTCCCAAACGTTAATAGAAAGAATTATGAGACTCGTTATTTCATGTTGCTGTGGTCTACGTGTGTGTGTGTGTGTGTGTGTGTGTGTGTGTGTGTGTGTGTGTGCTTAAAGATAAGGTCTGTATCGGTCTTGACGTTTCATTTTCATTAGAACGTCTTCAGCGGATGGAGGCGAAAATATCCGGTAAGAGCGGACGTTGTATGTCTAGTGATGAACTGGGTTACCGGATTGAATTGCTGCCTTCCGATTGGTTGTTGGAAGACAGCCGCAGTGCTTGTCTTGTTCGGTGTTGTGGTGGTTGGTTACTGTTATAAAGGCATCGTTGTTATGGTGGTGTTTGGGAGTCTCGAAGGTGTGTGTATACAAGTACTGTACTCATGTAGACTCAACCAGTTGTTTTGTGGTTCAGTAAATCTCGTTTTACTGTCTCGTGTGTTGGCCTCGATACACCCTGGAGGAGATAGTGGGTGATGGGAGTGGTGAAGACTCCCATGGTGATAGATCATGGTAGTGTGATGATAAAGACTCCCCCATGGTGATAGATCATGGTAGTGTGGTGATAAAGACTCCCCCATGGTGATAGATCATGGTAGTGTGGTGATAAAGACTCCCCCATGGTGATAGATCATGGTAGTGTGGTGATAAAGACTCCCCCATGGTGATAGATCATGGTAGTGTGGTGATAAAGACTCCCCCATGGTGATAGATCATGGTAGTGTGGTGATAAAGACTCCCCCATGGTGATAGATCATGGTAGTGTGGTGATAAAGACTCCCCCATGGTGATAGATCATGGTAGTGTGATGATAAAGACTCCCCCATGGTGATAGATCATGGTAGTGTGGTGTAAGACTCCCATGGTGATAGATCATGGTAGTGTGATGATAAAGACTCCCCCATGGTGATAGATCATGGTAGTGTGGTGATAAAGACTCCCCCATGGTGATAGATCATGGTAGTGTGGTGATAAAGACTCCCCCATGGTGATAGATCATGGTAGTGTGGTGATAAAGACTCCCCCATGGTGATAGATCATGGTAGTGTGGTGATAAAGACTCCCCCATGGTGATAGATCATGGTAGTGTGGTGATAAAGACTCCCCCATGGTGATAGATCATGGTAGTGTGGTGATAAAGACTCCCCCATGGTGATAGATCATGGTAATTTTCTCCACCAAGGAACTCATGAATTACGCAGGAGCTCTGGAGGAGGATTTTATTTTTTTATACTGCAGAAGGTATTGTTTGTCATGATGAAGTCCTTTGTTTTCCAGCTCCTGTAGGGTATTATTAGCATGAAGTCGTCGTCAGGTTATTATGCTGCTGTAGTTGTTGAAGTTGTATAGGGGGGTTGTTATTTCTTCTCTCTTGTAGGGTTTGGTGACGTTAAGTTGTGAAGTTGTAAAATGTTGTGAGTTTGGTGGTGGTGGTGTTGTGCTGGAGAATTCGATGTTGCTTGGTAGGGCACATAGTGATGGTGATACTCGAGGATCATGGTGATACTCGAGGATCATGGTGATACTCGAGTATCATGGTGATACTCGAGGATCATGGTGATACTCGAGGGTGATACACGAGGACTCCGCGTGAAGGGTCGCCTCACCACCACAACACAACACCGCCTTATTACCTTGATTATTCTCTTAATTACTGTGTCAGGGATGAGTGGCTTCTCTCTCCTCGCCCTCCCTCCCTACTCACTCTCCCTCACCCTCCCTTACTGCCAGCCCTCCCTCGCCCTCCTTACTTCCAGCCCTCCCTCACCCTCCTTACTGCCAGCCCTCCCTCACCCTCCTTATTTCCAGCTCCCCCTCACCCTCCCATTCTGTCAGCCCCCCTCACCCTCCCTCACTGTCAGCTCTCCCTCACCCCTCCTTTACCCTCCTTACTGTCAGCTCTCCCTCACCCCTCCTTTACCCTCCTTACTGTCAGCTCTCCCTCTCCCTTACCCTCCCTTACTGCCAGCTCTCCCTCACTGCCAGGGTAAGAACGGCCATAACTCAATAATTATCCATTTGCCAAAACGTTCATTATCACCGTTGTATTCAGCATACAAAAAACTGATCCAGGAAAATAGGTTTAAAAAATATAACGGTATGGATTTTAGGTGAATATCCAAATATCACATAAATAAATTCTCCTTTTCAACTAGATTTCATACCTGTTCGATCACATTATTCCAGACACAGGTATTCACGCTCCTAAAATGACTTTTAATCAGTCACCCGTCAAATGCTCGTTTTCTTTAAGTTCAATAAAAAGAAAACGGGAAATAATAAGCCTCCCTTGGTGACTACAGTTTCAAATATGAATTTTCTTCACTCATATTTCGCTCTAGGTAATGATTGACGTTTTTGTTTATACCTTGCTTTCGAAATTGTCTGGATGCTGTTGGCTTATACAGCTCACAGAGTAAAGAAAGGCTAACTTAAGTGTCTTATTTGGATTTAGACTCGAGAACGAAGTCTATGTTTATTATCATTATTTAGAGGAATGTCCGTGATATTGGATATACGTGTACGTACGTGATGGTAACATTAACACGTACCATGTTGTGCTTGGACTGCCTTACACTTGTGAGGGCTGAGCCAGAAGTGTTCTTTAGACAACATTATTCAAAGTAACTGTCAGCCGAGATGTTATGCTGACATATACCATTAAAAAGAATAAAACCAAACCACTGTCAATTTAACTTACGAACAACAGTTACTTAAAGGTTAAAATACATTACAGACTCTCTTATCATATTGCATAACGAGCAGACGAAGGCACACATTAGGACACCTTTTGAGTGCCTTGGTGAAGCTGTTGGGATAAATCACCTCTTTTTATCAGGCCACCAAGGTCCACCATGCTCAGTTATTGGTGACCTTGGCACTGTTTACTCCTTGTGGTTATCCTCCTCCAGAATTCTCTCGAGTAACACCACGAACTTGGGACTGTCGGTGTTGTGTGTGTGTTATGAGTTAGTTTTAGTATATAGGTGTAGTGTGTGTATGGCTGTGGCGTGTGTGTGGATGTGACGTAAGTATTTGTGTTGTGTGTGACTGGCCGGGCCGTGAGTTGCTGAACGTGTACGAGGGTTAAAGACACTCTGGCTTTGATGGTCCAAATGAGAATAGTGATCCAACTCCTGTATATAAAAACCCCTTCATGTTTTTTTTTATCACTTTTATGGTATATATTTTTTTTATTCTTCGCTTTTTCAATAGATATAGATATTCCTCTACTATAAGATCGTTTTAAATGATCACAAAAAAGTCCGACCGTGAGTGAAGTTTAATGGAAAAATGGTATTAATAATGACGTGATGATTCGTTGTTTTTATTTTTGTAACAGAGTTTTGTTGCCTTATCTTGGGTGTCCTTGTTGCGGTCGTTTGCTACAGAAGGAATTTTATTATTATTATTATTATTATTATTATTATTATTATTATTATTATTATTATCATTATTATTATTATTATTAGTGATGTTTTAGTTTCAGTAGATGAATTCAGATAGAGTTACATGTATGTGTGTTTTGTAATAAGATGAATGTTTAACGAGAGGACAGAGAGCAGTAAAGAGATAACTAACTGATATTTTATTACTTAGAGGTAATGATTTGTAACTAAATACCATAACTAATAGGTGTGTGTGTTGTTACAGTCGTGTGGTGGTGCGGGCCCCACCAGTGTGGACGGAGCGCTGCTGTCCGAGGCTCACGGGCTGGTGGCAGACATGCTTCAGGACCCTCACCTGCCCCCTGCTGTAGTGTCGGGACTACAGGCGCTCTACCTCCTGCTGGCGCCGCCCTCACATGTGGCGCCCTCTCCCCGGGGACACAGACCCACCCCTTACTTCCACCTGTCGCAGGATGCCTACGCTTCAGGTTCCGACACTGAAGAGAACCCGTACACGGGCGAGAGGCCCTCCGTGCACCGGGTGAGTGTCTTATGCAACTTGTTCACTTTACTTGATTTGTCCTGTGATGTTTGTCTTTGTTTTATAAGAGATTTATTGTACCTCGGGTGTGTGTTGAGGTTATTAGGGAGATATATCACAATGGGTCAGGTACAGTTGCCAGCAAAAGTCCCCCCACAAACTTGCTACACAGAGCTGTGGGAGAACTTTTGCTGGCAACTGTACAAAAGTTAACAGGTGTGACCGGGATCCAGAGAGCCGCCTGTTGGGTGCACGGCAGAACACCCTGGTGAAAGGACCGAGCACGCAGGGAGCAGTAAACTAATGCTTATGGAGTAAAATAATTCTTAGGCTGAACCAACAACTTCGATGGACTGTTGATGCTCATTGTCAACCTTGAATGTAGAAAATATAGACGATTGTGGAGTTTTCAACGATTTTTTGCGTCGACATTTACCTTTGCATTTTTTGGCCTTGTATAAAATGTCACTAATTACAGGAGCTATTGAGGTTATGGTTGTCGTGAAGATAGTAATGGCCGTGAACCTGTATTGATGAGTAATTAATAAATCTTGTTACACGTTTAAAGACCTAATGAGGGGCAGTAATAACAGGATAACATCAACAACTAGAATCACCCGAGGAATACTAGTCGACGCCAAACTCCTTCACTCTGAACCTGCAGTATGAGAGAAACTTTACATCTATATTTAGAGAAGACATATTGAGGAAAGATAGCGTTAGATATATATTGATGAAATATTAGATAGAATAGGGAAAGAGATAGAACATTCTCTTCAGTGTACGCCATTTACTGTCCACAGTGAGTGGTTATGTCCCAACGTAGCGTCACCTTCACTTGCTGCCATGTGACGTCATATATATTTGTACCCGATAGGAAGCTGCAAATACAATGAATTAAAAACAAAAATCTCCTTTAACCTAGTTTTTTAAAATTAATGATCAGTTTCGTAATACTTAAGTTAATGTTTCTTTAAGTATGTTTTATTATTTTCTTAGGTTAGGTTAGGATAGATTGATTTAGGTAATATTGGGTTACGCTAGGTTGGGTTAAAATATGATGTTAGGTTAGCTTAGATTAGCTTAGGTTAGGTTAGGTTAGGTTAGGTTAATATAGTTACAGATGGCGAATTATCCACTCAGACGCTCCAGCCAGACTGTATTGACCGATTGAAGCGAGACAACAAGAACAGGAGGCCATAGATGGTGCCATACCTCGTGTTGTGTATATGTATGTGTCACTGGTAGAGCCTTGAAAATGCCTGAGTATATTTATTTCAACCTAACCTAACCTTTCTTCCTGTCATAAAAGCATTCCTTATTGTTGGGACGCGAGTGAAGGCTCGTCAGGCACTTTCCATATAGAGTATCATTCTAGAACAGAGGGTGGGGGAGGGGGATACCATGCGCTCTTCATTGTTCGTGCCGGCGCTGGTGATTGCTCGTGCTGGCGTTGCGATAGATGTGCCATGGACATAGGTTTCATTCACGTAACAGTAGAGTTTATTACTTGTGTATTAAATAAGGTTATCCCTGTAGCATGTCTGAGTGTTGGTGTTATTCGTAATTCCCGACTTCCTCAAAGGCAATACTGTATACTTTATAATTATATTATGTTAATGTCTGTAGATTTATAACAACTATCCTAATTATATCCTTGGAAAGAGTGATAAAGTAAGAGAAGGAGAAATGTGGGTAAGTTAATGAAAGATCGAAAGAGTAGAGAAAAGATAAGAGCGAAAGAATAGAGAGAAGAAACTTGACACCCGGAGGCCTCTGGCATCTACACACGCAGTTGACATTGAAAGAAAAATTAAAATTGCTGCGATAATTTATTCTTTTCTGGCAAGCAACACGTCATATTTCACTCCCTAATTTTTTTGTTTATGATTTTATTGCTTGATGAATTTATCACTTTGTCTCTACCTTCTCCAATTAAAGGGAAAAATATATATATATACTATTTTTACAACGTGAGGGGATATTTCAACTCATCTCCCATGACAAGAACAGCCACAGGGGAAGACTCCTTTCAAAGTTTAGAACGAGAAGTTTTTCACCTAATAGAAGATGTAAGAACATATTGGAACACATATACTTCGCTTATCTAAGTTACGGACGCAAAGATAAATTGTCTGAGTGTTCCTAAGTTAAATTTCTCCCTTAACTGGATATGTAAGAACACCCTTTTAACCGGCCTAATTAACTTAGACTATTATTAAAAAATATATAAATCATAATGTCTGTGTGTTCCTAAGTTAAATTTCTCCCTTAACTGGATATGTAAGAACACCCTTTTAACCGGCCTAATTAACTTACGACTATTATTAAAAAATATATAAATTATAAGGTAAATTTGGCTCATTTAAGTCTATGGCTATAAAATACTTTCTCAAAGGTTCGTAAGTTTATTTTTTTCGGATTAGGAAAAGATTAGACTCAGCTAATTTCATCCGATGATTAAACACCCTAATCCTATCTTGGGAGTTAGGTTAGGTTAGATTAGGTTAGCTTAGATTAGTTTAGAATAGGTTAGATAAGCTTTAGATTATATTAGCTTAGCTTCAGGTTAGGTTAGAATATATAAGATTAGCTTTAGGTTAGAATAGGATAGGTTTAGGTTAGGTTAGGATAGGTTTAGGTTAGGATAGGTTTAGGTTAGGTTAGGATAGGTTTTGGTTAGGTTAAGTTAACGTTCGTATGCTTAATCATGAGGTGAAATTAAACTAATCTGAACTAAACTTCACATGAACCGAATTTCCCCGCATTTAGAGTAGTGGCAACCTAACCTAACCTAACCTAACCTAACCTAACCTAACCTAACCTAACCTATGTACCAAAGCTAGGGCCAAACAATATCTTCGAATTGCACGTGAGAGGCTTCCTAGTTAGCATTAAAGGTTGAAAAAAAATGACTCCTAAAAATACTCCTCCAGTTATTTGATAAACACACCATGACCGGGTGAGCAAGTGTGTTTGTTTGTGTGTGTGTTTGTACATGTGAGTGTTTGTGTGAGTGTTAATGTGTGTGCACGACTTTGTGTGTGTGTGAGAATGTGTATTGTATATGTGTTATTGGGTGTATGTGTGTCTGTTTTTGTTTGTGAATGTGTGAGTTTGTGTATGTTTGTGTTAGAGTGTGTGTGTGTGTGTGTGTGTGTGTGTGTGTGTGTGTGTGCGTGTAGTCTGGTTCCCTGGAGGGGGTTCGGGTACACGTCATAAAGCTAAATCAGAGATGTCACTTGAGAATATATGAGTGTTGGAGGAGAGAAAGAGAGTGTTGGAGGAGAGAGGGAGAGTGTTGGAGGAGAGAGGGAGTGTTGGAGGAGAGAGGGAGAGTGAGAGAGAGTAGCAAAACCTTGGTCGACCTTGTATATATCTTAGCTTCAGGACATTATTACGTCACTCTCTCTTTCTCTCTCTCTCTCTCTCTCTCTCTCTCGGAACGTGAGACCTGCTTACATCTGGCAACCACCTCACACAGTCAACAACGAAGGAAAAATCAGTGTGATGCAATTATGCTCCTTTGATAAGAAGCTCCAGCCGTATCCCAATCTATTTTCTTACTCTTCTTCTCCCTCTCCTCTCTTCTCCTCTCTTCTATCTTCCTCTTCTTCTCTATTCTTCTTCTCCCCTCCTTCCTCTCCTCCTTCTCCCCTCCTCTCCTCCCTTCTCCTCTCCTCCTCTCCTCTCCTCCTCTCCTTCTCCCCTCCTCTCCTCCTTCTCCTCTCCTCCTTCTCCTCTCCTCCTCTCCTTCTCTTCCTCTTCTCCCCTCCTCCTCCTCCTCTTCATGGGCCATAAACAGTAAACAATATGAATCGTTCGTATTTTGAGAGAACTGTTGTCTGACTCGGTATTGACAAACTCGGTCACAAAACAAATGAATTGCGTTTCACCCCCAATATGGAATGACAGCGGCGTTGACTTGAGGAGCCAATCTCTCTTTTCTTCCTACTCTTCCTATACTCTGTCTCCTACTCTTTCTTTATCTTTCCCCTTCTCTTCCTTTCCCCCTCCTCTTTTTAATTCATTTTCTTCTTCCTCCTCCTTCATCTTCGTCTTTCTCCTCCTCCTCCTCAACTACCACCATCTCCCATGAACTACCACCATCACCCCTCTTCCCCCCCATGAACTACCACCATCACCCTCTCTCCCATGATCTACCACCATCACCCCTCCCACCATGAACCCCATGAACTACCACCATCACCCTCCCCATGATCTACCACCATCACCCTCTCCCACCCTCACCACCATCTCTCTCCCCCATGAACTACCACCATCACCCTCTCTCCCCCATCAACCACCACCATCTCTCTTCATCCCCTTATCTCCCTTGGTCTCCCCTCCATCTCTCCCCCTCCTCCCCCGCCCTCACGTTGCCATGGTAACATCTGACGCAAGCAGGGCCTTATTATAATATTCACTAATTACAGGTGGTCTTACCTTGGCGCCGCGATCCTCACATTGTCACCTGTTCTTGTGGCATTTTCTTGAAGCTTTTGTCCTTCAGTATCCCCTTGGCTTGTTTACCTGAAATATATGAATTGTTTATATTAATTGTTTACCTAAAATATATTAATTGTTTAGAAAAATATCCTTTTCTCATCTCAAATAGATCCTTTGTGAATAGGTGTCATCTCTGTTATCCTGTTTGGTTAAGTCAACACACTGAGAGGTGAGGTCATGTCAGTCTTGTGCGTGTAAAGGTTGTATCTTTTACACACGCTGACACATAAGCACACACACGGCGCTAGCTGAAGTAAACAGTATTTTTTTTAACCCTGTTTTACGGTTATGCTCGAAACTTTTTCTTTTACCAAAAAAAAAAAGTTTTATATTTCAAGTCATTATTTTTCTTCCTAGTTGAACATTGTGATTATTTTGTCTTGTTTGTGTAACCCGGTTATAAAAAACAACGTAAATATTCGTGTTGCTGATGTAATTATTTTCCTGCGTAATAAAGTACTAGTGTTTTCATTGTCAGGCTTATGTCATTTTATTTTCTTATATATTGGTGTTGACATTAGAGAATAGGCTGTGTTATGTATGTTCGGTAGCTGAAAATACCGTGAAGTGAAGCGAAATTTAATACTGTAATGCATTCCCCCAAGATTCGATTTGCAGCGTAGTCCATTTATATTTACAAGAGATCCAGTTGGTTCCTTTTGATGAAATTTTGGCACTGGGGAAACATTACTCTCTCTCTCTCTCTCTGGTATTCTAATTAATTATTCCATTATCTTACCGTATTTAGCATAATTATTATCGTCTATTGTGTGAGTTATTAATGTAACGCTTGCTTTTGACGTCACAATACCACCGACGCTTTGAAATATAATTATGTGGTGCCTTTATTTAAGTCATATATTATATGAGCGTTATAACTGGCAAATCCTCCTCTTGTTTATATATTATACCAGAATAACGTGAGGAAATACTCGTTATAAGACAAGAAAAATATGAGTCAATTGATGTTAGATGTTGCCAGAAGTACCCACAGGGGTTTGTTATTGTTGCGTATTGATTCAAAGCTTCAAATAAAAGTAAACTAACAGCAGGAGGGAAGTAAAATACCTCCATTGGGTCATTGAGGCCTCGTCAGAATTACAGGCGTTCATCGTGGCAGATTTTAACCACGAGACGATTGAGACGATTGACTCACTTCACAAGCTGAAGGAGAGGAACTCTTTGATCTCATTCAAGGTTAATTCCTCACACAGCCTGTGACGGAACCCAAGAGGGGAGAGAATGTTTTGAATTTGGTTTTGATGACCGAAGAAAGTGGTAAAATATTAACCCCTGGCAGCGACCACTTCATACTGTAATGGAATACGGTCTTTGAAAGGGGATGAATTCTATTTCCTGAAGGGATGGCAAAGTTTAAACCAGATCACTTCGCTCAGTGTGTGGTAGACTTATGGAACAGTCTACCAGTTGAAACCATGGTGGTGGTAGTAGACCTATGGAACAGTCTACTTGCTGAAGCCGTGGAAGGAAGATCATTATTGGGCTTCAAAATAGCCATGAACAAGACTATCAACAACAATTGAAGGTATCCTACACAGACCTTCCCCCGTCACTGCCACCATATTGGGGAGGTAAAATCATCTTTATTTAAAAATTTAATTTAAGAACCTTTGTTTTAATTTTGTGTGTATTTAAGAGCATTGGTATATTTTTATACTAGGGTGATTTTAATTGTATTTATTATTTAAATATTTTATAGATTATTGAACAAATACGTTTATGACACCAGTTTTTTTAATAATGACGCCGTAATAAGTTATAATATATACAAATATATAAATAAACACCAGTACAAAAAATTTTCAGCATATTTTCAACATCGTTTAGATTATTTCATATATACATTTTTTTCCACCATCTAGGAGTATATAGCGAGACATTATGGGAGCCTATATTAATTATATTATATACGTATACTATTAGCCTGGTATATTGACACTTGTCTTGGGTGTCATTGAAAAAAAAATGAGTTGTATATAATATATATTTTAACCTTGTCACAGTAAAAAAAAAATGTAGAATATTTATATAAACTATTGTACATAATTATACGGACAGAGACTGCAAAGGTTATGAAAGTTACTTAAAACTGTCGCACATAATTTTGCCTATAATTGACGGTGATTTATTTATATCAATGACATTTAGTGGAAAGATAGATAGATGTGTTAATGGTGACGGCAGGATGTAGACTAGGACAAAGGGGTGGGTGGGACAGGGATAAGGTGGATGGGACAAGGTCAAGCTAGACACAACAGGGACAGAGCTGGACAGGACAGATAGACTGGACATAGCAGACAGGATGGACGGCGCAAGAACAGAATAGACGAGACAGGGACAGGGTAGACAGGCCTGGGACAAATGAGAGGGGGACAACCTGAGGACTTAAGTAACCTTGTTAAGGACCCTTCTTAATAACTCACTATGGAGATGATAAATACGTTGATGAAAAGGGTGAGGAGGCAGGCGGGGCGTTCCTCCCTCTGCCTCCTCACCCCACAGCGGAAGCCTCCAGTTGGTCTGATTGCGTCACCCATACTCAGATTGTCTTGAGAGTGTTTTGGTTAAAGAGGTGAAAAGGTGCCATCTGGTGTAACTATATTCTGGAACTAGTCATCTTTTTTTTTCATGGATCACGTGAAGATTAAGCACCCCTATCTAGTTTATTTCACCTGATGATTAAAAAGCCAATAATGTTATCTTGAGGGGTTAGGTTAGGTTTAGGTGCGGTGGCCGAGTAGATAGAATACTCCCCTCCTATCCTAAAAGTCACTGGTTCGTGCCCCGGGGGATTCCTTGCCTACCCAGGTGTTAGTGTGTACCTAACCTACTAAGGGGTGGGAGAACAAACATTACCTACGATATAGTCTTGATACAATTTCGACGCCATTTTTGACCGCCAACTTCATAATAGGAATTAGGTGAGATAGTTCGACATGTTTTACCATCTCCATTTACCGGCTAGGTTAGTTTATAAATAACTTTTGTGTACTTTAACTTCAAAAGGACCAATTATAATGCTGTTAATACCGTGAAACAAAATTATAATATCAGAGAGGATTTATGGATTAATTTGTCCGCACGGTCAAAAGAAAAGGTGTTCTATAATTAACTGTTTAGATTATGAATGGAAAGGGAGAGTATTGCATCAGGTACCTTGTTAATACTATAAAACAAAAACACAGTATTAATAGCCCATGTTGACCGCCGTAAACTGAATCCTCTATAAGCATCGTTGTTCATCCTGTGAGAACAAAGGGGCACCGTGTCAGCTTTGCCCAGGTAAGGGTGTTGTGATGGTGACGTCAGAGGTGTTGTGATGGTGACGTCAGAGGTGTTGATGAGTGTAATTGTTTAGCTGGTATATTGAAGACCAGCGACCAGATAGACTTGAGAAGGACAAGGGTGTATGATACTGACTCATTATGTCTCATTTATTGTCTCTTTGTCTCTCGTTATGTCTCATTATACACACCCTTGTTGTGTCTTTATGCCTTAATTTTGCTTTATTGTCATTATTCCTCTTTCATTGTCATTATACAGGTACTTTTATTCACGTGTCAATTTACTCAGAGCTTATTTCTCTAGTTCATTGCCTCATTATATCTCATTATGTTTCGTATCTTATTTTATCTCATTATACTGTACTTCATTATACTCCATGTAAGTATATCCTATTATCATTGTGTTCCATCATGTTCCATATCGTTTCATTATATTCCCACTCATCCACCTCAAATTCACTCATCCACCTCCCATACTCACTCATCCACCTCAAATTCACTCATCCACCTCCCATACTCACTCATCCACCTCAAATTCACTCATCCACCTCCCATACTCACTCATCCACCTCCCATACTCACTCATCCACCTTATACTCACTCATCCACCTCCCATACTCACTCATCCTCCTCAAATTCACTCATCCACTTCCCATACTCACTCATCCACCTCAAATTCACTCATCCACCTCCCATACTCACTCATCCTCCTTATACTCACTCATCCACCTCCCATACTCACTCATCCTCCTTATACTCACTCATCCACCCCTTACTCCCACTTCCCATTATAACTATCATCCCTCCGGTGTATATTGCCAGAACTAACTCCTTAATCTCTCTCCCTCCTTCCCCTGTAGCGGAGTGGTCGTCGGAGTGTGGCCCCAAGTCTGTTAAGGCGTATGAGTACCTCCACCTGGACTACCACCACCAGCGCCACCGGCATGCCCACCCTCGAGCCAACACCATGTAGGAAACGAGCTTCCTCCTTCAGGGCCGTCGTTGGTAAGTTGCGTTCCTGCTACTCTTCCCCCCCTCTGCCCTCCTCCTCTTGAAATCTTGTGTTGGGGGTATACTCCTCTAGTCTTTTCTTCGTGTTGGTAAGCTCCTGCAATCATATTTTCTCTCTTTCTTTCTTTTTTTTCTTTTCTCTTGTTAGGTTTTGTCCCATGGGTCGTTCCTTTATGTTATTACTGCACTCTTCTCTTTTTTCCTCATTATCTTCTTTTCTCATTTATCTCTCATGTTTTGTTTTTGTTTTTTTTAAAGTCTTTACTAAAATGTTGTAAGTAGTAGTTTTCTTTGTGTGTTAGTCAAGTTGTTCACTGTGTCTCAGTTATTAAATATTTCTCATAGTTCTCTCCAGGCTCGCTCCAGGCTTCTTCCATGAAATGTTTTACACCAATCTTTTCAGAGTCTCTCGCCCTGGACTCCTTTTCACGATGTTCTGTGTGTGTGTGTGTGTGTGTGTGTGTGCGTGTGCGTGCGTGTGCGTGCGTGTACGTGTGTGCGTGTGTGTGTGTGTGTGTCAATTTATTTGTTTCAAGCTCCTGTTGTTCAAAGTTTCCCTCCTAGTAATGCCTCTGTCATGTTTATTAATGTGTATATAATGTACACTTGAAGTCCTGTGTGTAGTGTGTATTGTGGTGTATGGTCTATACATTACTTGAAGTTTCATGTATATAGCTTGAAATTAAAGATTCATACATAGCTTATACTTAAAGGCTCATATAAACCTATTACTTGAAGCTTCATATTTACCTTATACTTTAGCTCTTATTATAACTTATACTTGAAGCCTCATAGAATATACGTCAAGCCTCGTGTTGTTATATTACCGTTGTGGTGTTATAATATTCAGGCTGTTGAGAGCATACAATACCTAGCCTCTGAGTACAGTACACCAATCAGATCATAACACAGGGTAGTAAGGATGCCTTATTCACCATTCAGATTCACAGAGGACTCTTACGATGAGTAATACTCGTAAGTGAAGAGGTGAGAATGAACGTAACTGTTTCAAGATTAGCGTCAAAATTGTACCAAGACTGACTAGATACGACCATTTAGAAATCAAAATGAAGGTACATATTTTTTACGAAAGAATCTGTTGCTTTGATTAATTTTTATTTATTTATTATTTTTTTACATTAAGTCCTCTTTAATTACGAGAAATGTTTATCGTACGAACCCTAGTGACTGTGGACCTGTGATGGAAGGATATATGTTGCTTGCATATATATCAGATAAAGATAACTAATCCACATATTATTTTAGGCTCTACAGGGAAATTTCTCCATACATGTAATATAAAATATAACTTGAATCATCACATATTTTAGTTTTGTCTTTTTTTTTTTTATCAGAGTAATATTTTTTTCCCGATTCCACTCAATTTAGTACTTCCAAAACTTAACATTCCAGCTAAAACTTGAAAATAAATAAATAAATAAATGAATAAATAAATGAATGAACACTATATTCTTTTCATCTTGGGGGAAAAAAATAAAAATAAAAAATAATAAATAAATATTTTTCTGCTATTTTTTTCTCCAGGTATTTTTTTTTAATGAGTTGTTTCCTTCCCTCGGTCCAGCCTCCGATTTCAGAGAAGAAATTTAAAAAAAGGAAATGTGGCCATATCCTGCCTAGTGACGTGGCCTTGTGTTCACACTTGTCTTTTTCATCTGCTTTCTTCTTTTGTTTTATATTTTACTTCATTCTCCGTCTTTTCATATCTGTGTTTTCTTGTCTCTGAGTTTATCTTTTTTGTTGCTGTTATTTTTTTATTGTGCTTGTTTTTCCATGGTTATTCTCTCTGGATTTTGAAGTTTTTCCTGCCTCCTTTCTTTCTTTGCCTCTTAATCTTTTTTTTTTTTTGCATCCTTTCTATTCTTTTTTTCTTTCTCTGCTTATCCTTCTTTCTCTCTCTCTTATTCCTTCCCTTTTTGGCCTCTCATTCTTTCTTTTTCTCTCCTTTTTTCTTTCTATGCCTTCTCTCTCCTTTTTTCTTTCTCTACCTCTTCTTACTTCTCTGGATCATCACCTTTTCACCAATTAGACACTTACAATCCACCTACCCACTATCCATCCACCTGCTATCCACATACCTACTATGTATTGACCCACTATCTGCATCCACCTCACATTCACATTTCCACCCACAAGAACAGAGAGAAGAGGAGGAGGCCGCCACGCCTTCCAGCAACGTAGCCGAGAAAATCCTCCTCCACGAGACGCTGCCGGAAGTTGACGACGACCCCGCCACCTGTCAGTTTCACCCTCTGATTGCTCTTGATTCTAAGTTGTAGTTCCTCTCAGGTGTGACTAACAACCATCATCATTAACGTCTATTTCTAAGTTTTTGTTCCCTCAGGTGTGACTAACAACCATCATCAACGTCTATTTCCAAGTTTTTGTTCCCTCAGGTGTGACTAACAACCATCATCAACGTCTATTTCTAAGTTTTTGTTCCCTCAGGTGTGACTAACAACCTTCATCAACGTCTGTTTCTAAGTTTTGTTCCCTCAGGTGTGACTAACAACCATCATCAACGTCTGTTTCTAAGTTTTTGTTCCCTCAGGTGTGACTAACAACCATCATCAACGTCTATTTCTAAGTTTTTCTCATCAACGTCTAAGTTTTTGTTCCCTCAGGTGAGTCTATTTCTAACAACTAACAACCATCATCAACGTCTATTTCTAAGTTTTTGTTCCCTCAGGTGTGACTAACAACATCATCAACGTCTATTTCTAAGTTTTTGTTCCCTCAGGTGTGACTAACAACCATCATCAACGTCTATTTCTAAGTTTTTGTTCCCTCAGGTGTGACTAACAACCATCATCAACGTCTATTTCTAAGTTTTTGTTCCCTCAGGTGAGACTAACAACCATCATCAACGTCTATTTCTAAGTTTTTGTTCCCTCAGGTGAGACTAACAACCATCATCAACGTCTATTTCTAAGTTTTTGTTCCCTCAGGTGTGACTAACAACCATCATCAACGTCTATTTCTAAGTTTTTGTTCCCTCAGGTGAGACTAACAACCATCATCAACGTCTATTTCTAAGTTTTTGTTCCCTCCATCATCAACGGTGTGACTAACAACCATCATCAACGTCTATTTCTAAGTGTGACTAGGTGTGACTGGTCTATTTCTAAGTTTTTGTTCCCTCAGGTGTGACTAACAAACGTATTGCCTTACCTGTATGTGTGGTTCTGGTACTGTATAAGTCACATTGAGAACACAACAACAACAATATAATTTAAAACAATTTACAGTGGCAATACAATAGCAATATCTTATTTTATACAGTAGCAATAGAACAACATGCAACAGTAATGCAACAACTTATACAGTGGCAATACACCAGCTGGGCCTGTACTTGTTAGCCAGACAGGCCACTGCTGACGGTGTACATCATATCAAACATTACACTGTTGAAGGTGACCACTGACCTCCATCTGTGTCAGTGTGGTGCTTCACCTTGGGTTCAGTGTTGGTTTGGTGCTTCATAATGGTTCAGTTTCGGTCTGATGCTTCACAGGAGGATCAGTTTCGGTCTGGTGCCTCACACTTGGTTCAGTCTGTCTGGGTACCTTCATAGTGGGTTCAATGTTGGTTTAATGCTTCATTGTTGGTTCTCTTTTGGTCTGGTACATCAGTGGATTAATTTTTGTATTTGTGGTGAATATGAGTCTGAGAATACAACAGTTCTGAGCCAAGATTCTCGGGAGGTTGTACGTAAAATTTTCCCCAATACAATAAATAAAGGCACTTAAGATGCCTCCTCCCCCCTGCCACAAAATTGATATTGAAATTACATTGAGATTCTACAGTAGGTTGATGTGTCCTCTCATCCTCAGTTAGGAAGGGAAAATCTAATATAGGAACCTTTGGGAGTCCTAGCTCAAGTCTGGGAATGATCTCATCAGCTGAGGATAGGTCACAGTTTCCTAGTATTTGTGGTGATAGCAAGAAACTTCAAGGTGTGTGAATATAGTTTACATTCTCTAGCACATTTGTCGAATTTGACTACTCCAGGGGACTCCAAACTTTTTTCCGTTTCATCATAAATGTTGTTTGGTGTGAACGCTTGGGTACATATAGTGTTATTTCCTTGTATTTAATTTTACCTCTTAAATATATTATTGAATTTTTTTGGCTATGTTTAGTTTGCTGACCTCACTGATGGATGTTTTCCCTAGTGTGGGATATATCTTCACTTGTAGCATAAGGCAACCCATGAGTTTCAGCTACCCTTGTTTACACAGTTACTGGCTTTATCATATGTGTCACTCTGGAGATGCAAGTATACTGTACTATAATACTGTATTGTATACTATAGTGTTGCTCTTAGTGTTGTCTCGTGTTGATGATTATTCACCAACAGATGTGCTCTAGTTACTCGCTTACACAGTCTCTTATTCTGGTATCTTGTCATCTTAAGGTTCTATCGTATAAGTTTTCTCAGATCACGTTAGTGTTCTTAAATCTGTGTTTCACCTTCTTAGTGTTTGGTGTGCAGCAGGTTCTGTGTTCTGAGAGCTTAGCACAATGAAGAAGCATTATTAATTAGTAATTATACGTTTGTCTGTTATGGTAACCTGTTAGGGGATTACAGTGCTATTTTAGTTGCAGTCTTTGTGTGGTGACTGACGCACATTCTCCTCTAGGGTGAAGTTTTGATGTAAGATCCTTCGAAAAATGAAGCCCTGATGTCCTGGTTCGCCTGTGTCACCTATTCTCACTAAAGTTACTGTATTCTTGATCCACTTGAGTCACTTATTCTCAGGTCACTGTCAGTCTCTTGCTGGGATACAAGTAATGACTTTCTACATCTTCCAGCAGACGTAACTCCATGTGGGAGCCCAACCCACGCCTGCTGCTTGGAGTCACGGCTGGACCCCAACAACTCGTCCACCAAGAACCGCTCCTACTCCACCACAGCGCTCTACCAGGACGGGGCAAAGCGGCCGGTGGTGCGGGAGCGGCAGACAGTGTGTTCTCTGCATCCCCTTGGCGACTACGACGTCAACCACCTGGATCGTGTGGCTCGGGGTCTCCACGACAACCAACAAAAGCCCGGGGCGTACTCTGACCGCCTCACCCGCCTCCAGAAGCTGCCCAACCAACATGTGTGTGAGGGGTTATGTGATGACTGCAACCGTGCACAGAACGACACCACAGACGGGCCTTGCCACATTCAAGATGACCCGCCAGCCACTGACCTTTGTGAATGCAAGTGTAGTGAAATTGCTCGTGTCCACACCAATGAAACTCACATTTTGAGCTCTAAACAGACAGAGACAATAAATGTTGATTCTCATGCAACCAATGCCAGTACAGTGCACCAAAGACTGGGGCTGCGGGTGGCCACCTCCGACTACGAGAGTTCCGACTCGCCGAGTTCTATAGAGACGAGTGAGGAGGCGCTGGGTGCTGGCCGGGTGAGAATAGCGGCTACGGCGGAGGTGGCCGACGCCGTGGTCGAGGAACAAGAGGAGGAAGAGAAGGGCGAGAAAGAAGAAGAAAAAACAAACCAGACGAATCAGGTCCCAGTAAATGAGGTAAGGCTACATGTACAGTACCTGTACACTGTCTCTGTTTTTCCATATGATAGCCTTTTATTATTTCTGGTGTTATCCACTACGTCCTGTGTTCCTTATGCTCAACTTGCCAACGACCTTTATGAACAACTTAGAATTATATTTAAGCTAAAGAAATACATAAATCCTCTAATAGCAAGAGGAAAGGCTTACTTACTTCTGTGGCAGATTCAATAATATCCACAAATTCTTGGTTCCTCTTGTGTATCTGTTATATATTATAGTCTGTCACTCAATATTACTTGCTGAATTACCTGACTCTTCACTGACATTATTTGATAGTTTTGGGGGGATAGTGTGGTAGGTAAATATTCTTATGAGAAACTAAAATTAGTTAACATGATCACAGTACCAGCACTGTTGTCCTTCACTCCCTGTACCATCCAGGCCTCACAAGAATAATATAAGACACAACTTTAAGTGTCTAACTGGATGAATTAGCAAGTTCATAGACTGGGGCTCAGGTCCACAAAAATTCATGATATTATTTCTTTCCCAAAAGTGGAAATAACAGAATTCATTTACTTACAGTTATGATTCACTACAGTTTCAACTCTGTTTCAGTCATCTTTGTGTGGTTGGTAGAGTAAGCCAGTTAGATGCATTCACCTCAGGGGAAAAAAGGATCACAGGAAGTTTTACCCTCCCCAGCTTACTTCACCTTTAGATTAATACTGTAACACCAACGTCTCTAGCCTACCTTAACTCCCTCTCCTCCAGGTAGCCTAAGAGTGTATAATTATCAGGTGAAATAAGCTGGGAGACTAATCTTCAGATGAATCAACTTTAACATATCTAAACAAATAGGTTATGTTAGGCTTGGTTTTGATATAATAAGGATCTAAGTTACGAGCTGCTGGGCATGAGGAACATGTACGAGATATAGTATAGTATGCTGAGACTATTAACCTCACTCTTGACAGTAATGAACACCTTACTAACCGAGTTACCTTTCAGTAATATATTATTTTTATAAGTTGTAACATTTAAGGAACATTGGAGAGAGAGAGAGAGAAGGAAACACTGACAGACAGGGAAAGAGAGGCATGCTATGTCTAATATATCATTTAAAAGTCGTCTCACAGGAATCTGTATTCGGTACGTCAGTTCCCGTAACTCGATACTGAATACCGTATCATTGTATTGCTGCCGGGTCTCCCTTCTCTGTTTTCAACATACAGAAGACAGTGTATTTTTTCTCTCTTCTCTGCATTAAAACATAGTGATGATTTGAGGATGGTGTAACAAATTAAAAGTGAATATCAAAGCATTAAACACCTGTAGGATATTGTAGTAATTTTAACACAGACTATACAGGGTGATCTTAGTCTCTGTGCAGTTGCAGTGATTAACAATATTGTTATTTACCTTATTTTACTTAAAATAAATATTGGATATGTCACAGAAGATGCTGAAGTGGATACTGTTACCAATATTTACCTTAGAACAAAGTACATAACATTTTAGGTATAACAACTTAACAAGGAACAACTACTATATCTTGTTAATTGTAGCACCTTTACAGGGACTTTTAAATCATCCTGCTATTTTCATGTCTTTTTTAACCGACTCGTTTTCATGGCTTTGAAATCTCCCTGTATGCATACAGAGAGATATCTATACACATCTACAACTTGTACACAGGTACCATCACACAATTTAAAAAAGGAAATAATAAGACCAATTTTCATACAGACACAAACAAATCTGCTTGAAAAAATATATAAACTATTAATTTTTAGAAGTCTTCAGTACAAATATATATAAATTAATACCTTGATTACCTCACCTTCCTGGATTCCAGTTAGAAGTAGGAGGGAGGGGGGATTGAAAGAGGCTTCTCAATGGGTACCTGTAATAAGACACAAACAAATCTGCTTGAAAAAATATATAAACTATTAATTTTTAGAAGTCTTCAGTACAAATGTTTCCTCTTCATATATAAATTAATACCTTGATTACCTCACCTTCCTGGATTCCAGTTAGAAGTAGGAGGGAGGGGGGATTGAAAGAGGCTTCTCAATGGGTACCTGTAATAAGGTCAGTTTCTTACAGGTGTTGTAATTTATAATGGCAACTTGTATGTGTAACGAAGGCATACGAGGAGGACTTGAAGGTTCATGTTCAAATTATTGTTGAAGGAAGAGGCAGTTGTTGAAGGAAGAGGCAGTTGTTGTTGAAGGAAGAGGCAATTGTTGAAGGAAGAGGCAGTTGTTGTTGAAGGAAGAGACAGTTGTTGTTGAAGGAAGAGACAGTTGTTGTTGAAGGAAGAGACAGTTGTTGTTGAAGGAAGAGACAGTTGTTGTTGAAGGAAGAGGCTGGGAAGATAGTGTCTGTCTGAAGAGAGATAATGTACATCTGTTGCAGAAAGAGACAGAGTAGAAAAAAAAGTAGTGCAATCTCTCTTTTAATTGGTACTCATTCGTTAATTAAAGAGACTGATGAGTTTTGTCTCTCTGGGGTTAGTGATTGTTTATCTTATGAAGTAAGCAAGAGTCGAGATGGCTCTTCATCTAGACTGGTGCTTTGAAACAGGATATAACGTCTTGTAACAGGAGCAAGAGAACACCGACAAACAGAAACACCCCCCCCCCAAACAGACACCAGTGAAGGAAATAGATTAGTGTTTTTGTTCTAGTCACGGAGCCAAATACCCTGTGAACTGTATAAGACCTATCGAAAATACGTCAAGACCGCTCGTTAACATTGATATACGGATAACTTGAATTAACAGACGCCATACGGTGTTGTTCGAGTAAATTTGCATCTTCATGGAAAGTAGTAAGTTTATATAGTGTCTGAGATCTTTAGACTAGATCATTCATAAATTGATTGATTTCTTCATCTCATAAGTAGAAGAATTGTAGTCAGGGAAAAGAGTTTATTATAAAATGAGGGTCAGGGCATTAAATACCCTAATGTTAACCTAACTAAACCAAAAACTAACCTAACCTAACCTCCTGATAGCATTAGGAAATGTAATCAGATGAAATAAGCTAAGGTGCCCATTCTTCACATGCTCCAACTATTCAAATAATTTCAGTCATTTAGATATGTCAACACTTCAAATTTTAGGATATAAAACACGCTGTTCCATGACCTATCTCAACGAACACTCTTGGTCATGGTAATAATATTCTGTGAGAGGAATGGTGATATCAGCTTTAGTAAGGACATTATGTAATAAAAACTGATATTAATAGTTTGCTTTAATACACATAACTGTTAGTTCCATTGTGAATGTCTTTGTACAGTACTTGACTTATTTAAGATTACCTTCAAGTTCCTTTTTTTTTTTACGAATTTGAAATTGATACAGAGATGAAATTATACCCACTGAAACTTCTAGTCTTTAAAGCTTGAATAAAAGAGTTAATTAAGCTTGAATAATGGGGATGATAAAATAAAAAGCTTGCATAAATGACATGCCTGACGTTGTACACTCCTCCATACAAATGTTTGCCGATGACGCCAAGTTATTTCGGGAAATTAAGAACCAAGCGGACTGTGAAGAGCTGCAGAAGGACCTCTGTGGGCTCCAGGAATGGTCGAAGAAATGGCTGCTGAGATTCAATGTCACGAAGTGTAAGAGGATACACCTGGGGCGTACCAACGGTAAGGAGGCATATCATATGTCCCAACGGGATGAAGAAACTGCACTAGTTGAGACTGTGTGTGAGAAGGACCTAGGTGTGTATGTTGACAATGAGCTGAAGTTCTCGGGCCATTGTGAGAAGAAGGTAAATCAGGCAAATAAATTATTGGATCTTATAAGAAGGTCGTTCAGATATCTAGACGGTCCGTCCCTCGTAACGATCTTCAGGAGTGAAGTGCTTCCCCATCTGGAGTACTGTCACCCCATCTGGTCCCCGAGATATGCTAGGGACTGTCAGTTGGTTGAAAATGTTCAAAGGAGGGCCACCAGACTGGTGCCTGCACTTCGGCACCTCAGCTACCCTGAGAGATTGGAGCGCCTGAACTTGCCTAGCTTATACTACAGACGGGCAAGGGGGGGCCTAGTTGAGGTGTATAAGCATCTCAGGGGGCACTACTCATTTGAGTGTCCTTACTTGGAGCTGGCGGACGCTCGCCCCACAAGGGGTCACAGCTCAAGATTGAAGAAGCCGCAAGTCCAGAAAACCGTGAGGGCAAACTTTTTCGGAGTGAGGGTTGTATACTCTTGGAACAATCTACCAGAGAGTGTTGTGACGGCACCGAGTGTGAGCTCTTTCAAGACAAGACTTGACCAACACTGGAGCGGGTTCAGGTACATTCAGGAGCCGGTGCATGCCCAGTATTTGCCAACAGTGCGTGACAGAGACGTGACCGATCGCCCGGGCGGCTAGCGGGCCGATCTTTTGGTGAAGAAGATAAATGAAAAGAGACGTGACCGATCGCCCGGGCGGCTAACAAGCCGATCAGTGGCGAAGAGGATAAAAGAATAACACTCATAAATCATCCCCATTACTGGTAGCCCCATTGATAGTACAGTACTGTAGTATGGTCGGCTACACGTCATAATGGGAACAATGAAGTATTTTTATCTTACTGAATTATTTACAGTAGTCTTAATGGTCATGAACTGTACATGATTTCAGTATGTGGAGTCTCAGAGGTCATGAATGCTGGCATGAAATATTGCTATTATACACAAACATGACTCTCACACCCTCACTGTCACATTATATATAGATACAGTGTAGACAATGTGTGTGTGTGTGTGTGTGTGCGTGTGCGTGTGCGTGCGTATGCGTGTGTGCGTGCGTGCGTGTGTGTGTGCGTGCGCGTGCGTGTGTGTGCGTGTGTGTGTGTGTGTGTGGTAAAAAAGCAATAGAGCGAGCACGTTTATCATGGAGGTAGGGAGGGGGACCCTTGAGTGAGGGAGGGAAGGTGTCGTAACTAGGTGGTAAGATGTAAACACAGATACCAGCTAACTACCACCTGCACACACACACACACACACCAAATACACCTTCTTCTCCACACACTCTACAGTCCTTGCTCTTCACATCCTCACATTACTTCTTCCTCCCTTTACCATTACCTTGACACTCCTCCCTTTCCATAACATCACCCACGTATCCCCTTCCCTAATTTTTGTCTGTTTCTCCTTTACACTCCATCCCTCCTTTTCCTATCTCTTCATTCCCTCTACCCTTCTCTTATCATGCCCCTCCCCATACATGCCCCTCCTCCTCTATCCCAGTTACTCTATTCCACCTCTGTCTTCTTTCCTCCACGAGCACATCTCTCTCCTTTGTAAGCAAAATCTCGCCCCCACTTCTTCCTCCACCTGTCCTCTTTAAACCCTTCTATTTCACCTTCCTCCCCTTCCTCCTACCATCACCAGGAACACAGTGACTCAGATTTTGCTCTCCTTTAACTCTGTGGATCTGATCTACTCCACGGCTACATACAAATTATGTAATAACTCTATGTAAATTACACTAACTGTAGAGTAAATTATGTACTGTACAGGAAATGAGAGTTTACAGGGTGAATGGAATGAGTGATATCAATGGTTCCTCTCACAGTCTTAATAACACCAATACTGTATAATGGAAGGAGGGGAAGGATTGTGAGGGACACTGCTCGTACTATTTCCACAGGTCACAAGAATACAGTACTGTTGTTTTTGTGACTTAAAGGCTTATGAAGTTGCACTGAGGATTTTGTGTGACATAGGTGTTATTAATGTACAGTACGGGGTATTATTATTGTTATTATTATTAATAGGTACTGTACTTATTTTTCATAACGCAAAGATATAAACACATTTTGTAATGCTGTAACTGTGGATATATCAAGTTATATTTCAGGAAGCGGTTTTTGTCATTCTTATAAAATACTGTATGTTGATCTATTTCAGTATATCCTAAGAAGCAGATTATGTTATTCCTATCAAATTTGTAGACTATCTATTTTCTTACTTCAAGAGGCAGATTTTTTTTAGTATTAAATCTGTTGATCTATTTAACTGTGTCTTCGGAAGTAGATTTAACTCATATGACATTTGAAATTTGTGGGTTCGTTTTGTTGTAAATCAATGAGTAGGTTTTATTACCTCTTAAATCTTGTTATCTTGTGTGTTAAACTATATTGTCGTTTTGGAATATTATTAGTTGTTTTTCATCAAGTCTAATTCGCTTTATGTGTTAGGAAATGCAGATTTATTGAGTTATTTTCAAAAGAACTGATTTTTGTACTTTTTAAATCTGTGGTCCCTAATGCAGATATTGTCATCTGTGCTTTAGTTTGTTTGGAATTGATTTTATGCAGCTATGCAACATGGAACTCATTCACTCTTGGACCAAGACCAAGACCTGGAACCCAACCTGAGCTACACACAGCTTTGTTTGTTAGACGTGTTCAAAAATAGACCTTGAGAGCTGCAGAAAGATCTCTGTGAGCTTCAAGAATGGTCTAAAAAATGACTGTTAAGATTCAATGTCACGAAGTGTAAGAGGATACATCTGAAACGTACCAACGGTAAGGAGGCATATTGCATGTCCCAACGGGACGAAGAAACAGCACTAATTGAGAATGAATACGAAAAAGATCTAGGTGTGTATGTTGACAAGGAACTGAAGTTCTAGGGCCATTGTGAGAAGGTGAATCGGGCAATTAAATTATTAGATCTTACAAGAAAGTTGTTCAGATATCTAGATGGTCCATCTCTCATAACGATCTTCAAGAGTGAGGTGCTTCCCTGCTTGGAGTACTGTCACCCCGCCTGGTCCTTGAGATATGCAAGCTACTGTCAGTTGATTAAAATTGTCCAAAGGAGGGCCACCAGACAGGTGCCTGCACTTTGGCACCTCGGCTACCCAGAGTGATTAGAGCTCCTGCAATTGCCTATCTTATACTACAAATGGGCAAGGGGGGGACCTAATTGAGGTGTATAAACATCTCAAAGGGCACTACTGAGTCAAGTGTCCATACCTACATCTGGCAGACACACGTCCCACAAGGGGTCACAGCTCAATGGTTGAAGAAGCCACAAGTCCAGAAAACTGTGGCGGCTAACTTTTTCTGAGTGAGAGTTGCGAACTCTTGGAGCATCCTGCCAGAGAGTGCTGTGAGGTTTTTCAAGGCCAGACTTAACCAGCACTGGAGTAGGTTTAGATACATTCAGGAGCCAGTGCATGCCCAGTACTTGCCAACAGTGCGTAACAGAGACGTGACCGACCGCCCAAGTGGCTAGTGAGCCGATCAGTGGTGAAGAGGATAAAAGTAAAAAAGTAAAAAGTTGTACAGTATTAAAGCTCTTTCTTTTTCCAGGTGCAGTATTTGTATAATTGATGTAACCTTGGTGTACCCACAGGTGTGTGAGAGCTCAAAGGGGGCATTGCTGCTGGAGCAGGATGGGGCTATCTATGATCTAGACCTCCTGCAGGATCATCCCCTCCTTAACCGCATCTCAGAGTGGGACTACCCCGTCTTCTCCCTCCTGGATGCTGCCGGCCAGCTCATACTCAGCCAGGTGAGGCGGTAGGGGCAAAGGGTATTTGTAATGATAATGGAAACGTGATGGTGGGTAGAATGATGAAGAAGGGTGGTGGTGAAGGGAAAGGGGAAAGTGCAAGGAATGAAGGGAAAATGACAAGGGATGTATGTGAGGAGAAGAGACAAAGAATGGTGGTGAAGAGAGAAGTGGATGAAAAATTAGGGGACAAATATATGTTGGCTTGAATGAAGACAGAATTGAGGTGTTTCAGGTACAGTAAACAGCACAGTTTATAATTTTATTTTTTTAGAGTATTTCATGAATAATAACAATTTACTTGATTATAATTAACTAAATTGAATTACAGTACAGTATTCCCAAGAGTGGGTAGGAGAGGGAAATGTTGTTAGTATTCAGAGTATGATCAGTTATTGTGCCAGTCTTTGTGTAAATGGTGAAACTAGTATTAATTGTGCATCAGAGTTTAAATTAGGGTCATTTATGGTGTTTCAACTGTTAAATTAAAGTCATTTATGATTAACCAGCATTTGATTGAAGTTAAGTTATAGTGATTTAACCTTCAGATTATGTGATATGGTAAGTCATAGTGACTCAGACAATAAGGTTATTGATGATAATTTAACCTTTGTATTATGGTTAGTTTGAAATTGAAGTTTTGGTAAAAGTGCTTTAAAACAGGAAATGTATTAAACTTAAATTTTAAAGTAAGGAAAAATCTCAGTTAGTTAACAGTACTCCCATCCTCCCCCACAGCTGTGTTACCGGGTGTTCTCTGAGGTGGGGCTGTTTGAAACATTCAAGATCCCCACCAAGCAGTTCCTCAACTATTTCCACATCCTTGAACTGGGCTACAGAGAAATACCTTGTACGTTGCTACGACTGACTATGTTTAGTCAGCCCAGTTTGTGCCTTGACTTGTCTGGCTGATGGATGAATTTAGTCAATGCAACAGTTTTCAAAATTTGGGATTTACATCTGATAAATAGTTATGTCCTCCAGGAATATATGTATCAGCAGATTTGTACAATTTTTCAGTATTTTACAAAGTTTAGATTTACTGTACAGGCATTTTATTTTTCTGTGTCTTAGTATTTAACTTGTATATAACACTAGTTGCTTTTGTATGATACCCTGTATACATTAAATTTTTTTATATATTAAAAGTTATGAAGAATAGATTAGTTTGTGAATGTACTTTGAATATGACTTCTAATATTATCAAAGATGTTTAACAAAGTTATTTGTTGTTTGCATTGGCTGTACAGTTAGTAACATGTTGTTGCCCTCACCAGACCACAATGCAACACACGCCTCTGATGTGCTCCACGCCGTCTACTACCTCACCTCCCAGCCCATCCCTGGCTTCATTATGCTGCCCCCAGAGCCTGATTCTCCTTCCAACAGGCATGGTAAGTCCTCCACCAGGCCCCTCAAATCTTCCTCCACCAGGCCCCTCAACTCTTCCTCCACCAGGCCCCTCAAATCTTCCTCCACCAGGCCCCTCAACTCTTCCTCCACCAGGCCCCTCAAATCTTCCTCCACCAGGCCCCTCAACTCTTCCTCCACCAGGCCCCTCAACTCTTCCTTCCCCAGACACCTCAACTCTTCCTTCCCCAGGCCCCTCCACTTTATACTGTATCTTGAGCCTCCATACCCCTTCCCCCATCATTCCATTTGCCCCATATATTTTTTAATAATTTTTGAACACCAAGACTTTGTGATAATGATAGAAATAACTACTTTCTCTTGATCAATGCTTCTCTCAGTAATGACAGGTGATGCTGTATAAATTATGGAATCTTTCCATTTTCCTTTTCTTTAATCTCATATCTCTACTTTTTCATTTAATCTTTCTCGTGATCTCTCTTGTTGACCAATTCGAGTTTTATTTATTACTGTATTTAAAACATTTCTTAATGATATTTGTTTTGTTTTAATATGCATTTCGGCAGGTATTCTTTGATTACTTCAGGTAGTTGTAACTCTGCCTTGCCAGTTGTTCCCATCTTATGGGTTGGGGTTAGGAAGGGCATCCACCCTAAAACTTTGCTTCAAGATGCCTGATGGCAACTGGGCCACCGGAGCTGTTTCCTTCCCCTGGTCTCAGCTACATAATTTGGACTAACCCCAGTTTCCTCAACTACAGATGAGGCCATGGGGTCGCCGCGGCTGGTCCACCGGCAGAGCTTCACAGCAGAGGACACCTATGGGATTCTGGGGGCCAACCTACCGGCACTGGAGCTGATGGCGCTCTACACAGCTGCCGCCATGCATGATTATGACCACCCAGGCCGCACCAATGCCTTCCTTGTCACCACCAATGCCCCGCAGGTCTGTCCTACACACGTCTCCTCAACACTGAGTGTGTATCATGAGTTCTATATGACATGACTCAATCGGTCATTGGTCTCTACATGTCACTTATTCTACAGATTATGCTATGTCACTTTTTCTATGGGACTTGGGGTCTACATACAATAGTACTGGCTCTATAAAGCATGGGTGTCTACACATCATGGGTTCTGCATGTCCTGGATCTTTACACATTACTGGTTCTGTGGGCCATGGGCTCCTATATTTGACTGATTTTGTAGGTCACATAATGTGTTCTAAAGCTTACAGGTGTCTACATGTCATGGGTTCTATGGGCCTCTACTGCTCATGGGTTACGAAGTTGCAGATCACTATGAGTTGCAGGTTACAGATTAAAGTCTTACTCGCAACAGTGTCAACAGACTTTGGGCCATACGGGATGAATTACATCATGAAGGTTCTGCATATTACAGGTGGTACATCTTAAAAAATTAATGGAACTGTGTACTCTATACTTATACCAGATTTTTCGAGTCACAGGCGGGATAGATACGAAGTTCTGTGAGTTGCAAGTCCTAATGGGTAAATTTTGGTACATTCCCCATAGGCTTCAGTATCTATTGGTTATAGGTTTTTGAATATGTTGTTGGTTATAAATGTTACTGGACAGTATAGGCCATGTACAAATACAGTCTGTAGGGTTTTATTTTTTATTTTTTGTACAAGCAAAAACTGCTCTTCACTTAAGATCATGACTTCATAGAGCTCCTGTAAGATGCACAGGTTTTGCAGCATAATATAGGTTTTGCAGGACAGTATTCAGGATTAACTAAGGAGAACATTCCTTTACTCCACATGGTCCTCTCAGCCACCATATTAAGAAAACCAGGATTTCAATTCAGTACCAATATTTTGTTTTCATTATACAGTATATTACCTGTAAGTGTACTTGTTGCTTTGGTAACAATAATTATAATTTATTGCCACTATTATTGCATGTATTTTAAACTGTCACTCAGTCTAAAAGGCTACAGCATTACAATTGCACCCTTACTCAGTTCTCTTCCTTGTGCTGCAGGCAGTGCTGTATAATGACCGCAGTGTGTTGGAGAATCACCATGCTGCAGCCGCTTGGTCCCTCTTCCTCTCAAAGCCCGAGTTTAATTTCCTAACACAACTTGACCGAGCAGAGTTCAAGCGCTTCAGGTTCCTCGTGATTGAAGCCATCCTCGCTACTGACCTCAAAAGGCACTTCGAGATCCTGGCTGAGTTTAATGCTAAGGTGAGACTTGATTGGCAAGGTGCCTTAGTGAGAGTATTGCTAACCAACAGTAACTTGGTCTGAACTGACTGGGTTAAAATGTCTGTAGCTTGGACACCCATCTATACACCATATGCTCAGTCTATCTTTTATAATTTATTTATTATCCTACTTGTCTGGTGGTTGGTTAGTTTCCTCACACACTTTAGGCACCTGTACCTAAAACGTGTCCATTTTGGTCAAATCTGGACTTAAAGGAGCTTATGGTTGGTCATGTCACAGCATTCTCTGGCAGATTATTGCAAGAGTTCACAACTCTAACTTCAAAGAAATTTACTTTGATCATTTTCTATGCTGATAGCTGTGACCTCTAGTCTGGTGACCATCCACAAACTCCAGACTTAATACAGTAATGTCCTTTGAGGTGCCAATAAACTTCTATCAAGTCACCCCCTTGGTTTTCTATATTATAAATTAGGCAGTGAAGACATTCTAATCTCTCTTCTTTCATGAGGTATCTGATTACTAGCACCAGTTTGGTGGCCTGGAATAAATTTGGTGATGCCCTTTTCATCAAACAAGAAAGCTAGGAAAAGTAAGTTTAAAAATATAAATAATATGTAGAATAAAATTGAAGACATTGTTAATGCCAAAAATAAAATAACACAGAAGTTATGGAAGTTAGAATTTGATATCTTATAACCATTTACAGATAAGAGGTGGGCAAAAAAAAAACATCAAAACACACATGTAAATGAAAAGAGAATAAATATAAATTCTATATAATATAAAGGGAAATTGAACACTTTGTACGGTGCTGTATTTGGATTAAATGTACAATATTTGTTGTTTGCATTCATTTATCTACGAATTTATGTTCTACTGTATTGTACCTTTATCTTACCCTTCACATTTATATAACAGCTTTATCATTTTATTTCCCAAAATATCTATCTTTTTTATCTATCCAACTATTTATCTGTATGTAGAGGCACTTATCTGTCTTTCTATCTATACATCATTTTTCTTGTCGCTAAGTGATAAGTCTACTAGTTTATCTCACCTTACAGGCCAATGAACCAGATGCACCTGGATTGGACTGGAACTCGGAGACAGATAGGATGTTGGCACTGCAAATGTGCATCAAGTTGGCCGACATTAACGGCCCCTGCAAAGCCATCGACATACACACACAGTGGACCTCCAGGATTGCTGAAGAGTTCTATGAGCAAGGTACATCCATCTGTTTGTCTTTACATCCGTCCATGTTTTGTACCCATATACAGTACTGTATTTATCTGGCTGTGGCTGTTTACCATTGGTTTAATCGCCCTATCTGCTCATCCAATTATACATCCATTTGTGCAGAGTCCATCAGTCTGTTATTTACTTATTTTTTTCTCTCGGATAGAACTCAAATTTCTTTGCCTGGACGTCATATACCAATCTCAATTTATTATATTATTCTTATTGTAAATGAGTATTTGACTCCTTTATTGGTGTGGGATGCAACCTGAAACTGGCTTAGTGTTTTACAAGAGTGTTATCAAAATAATTTGGAAATACTTCATGTCTAAAATTGAGAAATAAAGTACTAGTTAAAATGATGTTCAGTCATTTACATACAAAAGATAACAGCTGAATAGATAATAAATGAATTTCTGTTCTTGTTCTTGCTAATAATGGGCTTTCACAAGAAATAATTTGTCATAAGAACTAACAAGCTGCAATTCTGAGTTCTCACAATAATGGACCACTTGCAGGGGATGAGGAGGCTGCACTGGGCTTGCCGGTGTCACCATACATGGACCGCTCCAACCCTCAACTCTCCAAGCTGCAGGAATCCTTCATCAACCACCTGGTGGCACCCCTCTGTAATGCCTATGGGGAGGCCGGGCTGATGCCAGGCGTGTGGCAGGAACCTGCTGAGGATGAAGAGCCTGGACCTGAAATCACTCCAGAGGATGAGGATGATGAGGACCCTGCCACCAGTGAGTCTGACACGGCCACGCAGACCAGTGGCCGCACACGCAAGATCTTCTGTCTCCAGACCCAGCACCTTCAGGAGAACCACCAGTTCTGGGTTAATAAGATTAAGGTTAGTTATCCAGTAGAGCTTCAAATTAAAAATGGCAAATTTTGATATGCTACAGCCACTTGTACAAACTGTACTGGTGCTGTAGTTTCATTTACACTATACTGTAGACTTAATTCATTTTGAACATTGTAATCACAAGTGATCAAATTGTTATGGAAACTTTAACTTATATATACTATATATATATATATTTATATATATATATATACTTATATATATATATATATATATATATATATATATATATATATATATATATATATATATATATATATATATATATATATATATATATATATATATATATATATATATATATATATATATATATATATATATATATATATATATATAAATATATATATATATATATATATATATATATATATATATATATATATATATATATATATATATATATATATATATATATATATATATATATATATATATATATATATATACAGTCAACCCTCGCTTTACGCGGTCCCACATTCCGCGTTTCCACGTTTACTCGGTACCCTGCCGAAACTGGAATGCTCACATTCCGCGGTGCTTGTACCCCTTTACGCGGAGAGCGGCTGGCGAGCCGCGTCATTTTTGGATCCAAACCTCCCGCCATCTGCCATGTTGTGTAAGCGGATTTAGCAGGGTGCGCACAAGGTCGCCCAGTCATCAAAACATTACTGAGTTCTTCACCTGCCACCCACCACAGCCGGCCCAAGTCAGTGATAGTGATAATGATAGTGAGGATATGGACTTATATGGACTTTGAGGGGTTTGACAAAGAGGCCCTGCAAGCCTCTGTGGTGGATAGTGATACAATTGATACAAGTGATACAGGTGAGGGCCAATAATCTGCCCTCTGCCTCGGAACCAAACCCCCATCCCCGTGTGCCCAGCCATCTTTTCTACTAATGTAAGTGTTAAAAACCTAATATTATTGATATTTCTCTTAATTATTAATTGTGTGTGCATACCATCATAAAATTAAGAAGTTATTTTTACTACAACGTAGGTATTGTATCTGAAAAAGTGGAGTTTGGGGGTCGGCCCGGTCTCTATTTCAATTAATCCCATATGTTATGTTGTTCACTTTACGCGTTTCTCACTTTACGCGGGCCGCCGTGGGTTGAATTAACCGCGTAAAGTGAGGGTTCACTGTATGTATATATATATACAGTATATATATAATAGTATATATATATATAAATAAATAAATAAATTTGCTCCTCATGGTGACACTGAGTCACGGGAACGAACTGACTTACCCTGACTGTCATTTGTGGCTGATGCTGCTTCATTTTGGGAGGGAGCAAACTTTTGAGCCCCACTGAACAGTACATGAATGTACAGTATACATACATACTTGCATACATACAACATTCATATTTACATGTACCTTTTTATTTACTGTACTGTATTTGCATACATGTAGACATATTTATATCATGTACTGTATTGTATATCTTCAGCAGTTTAGTAGGATCACAGATTCTTGCAGTGGCTTTTGTTCAGGTGTTTGCACATGCACAGAGGCCCAGATAGTATGATACATGTACAGTTGCCAATAGGTATAGTGTTCTACTCCTTGGTGGCCTTTCCACTAAGGTGTGGAACACTATACCTGTGGGAAACTGTACGCTATACAAGCATACAGTGCCATTATGAATAGGGAGACATTCTAAAAAAAATCCAAGCTGTAAAAAGATGACACCTTTTAATATAGTATATCACTTAAACATTTGCAGTCATAAAACTTGAAATTTCCAGAATACTGAGAGGGTCCATGCAAGCCCACTCCTTCTCTCCACCTCTTCCCTCCTTATCTCTCTCTCTTCCTCCTCCCACTCTCTCTTGCCTCCTCTCACCCTCCCTCTTCCTCCTCCCATCCTCCCTCCTCCTCTCATTTTGTCTCCCCACCCTCCCATCTTGTTTCTTCCTCCTTTCATCTTATCTGTTCCTCCTGTAATCCTGTCTTCTTCCATCCATCCATCCTCTCTCTTCCTCCGACCATCCTCTGTCTTCTTCTCCCATCCTCTCTCTTCTTCCTCCCATCCTCACTCTTCCTCTTCCCATCCTCTCTTTTCTTCCTCCCACCCTCACTCGTCCTCTTCCCATCCTCTCTCTTCTTCCTCACCTCTTACCATTTTATCTCTTCCTCCCATCTTATCTCTTCCTCCTTCTTTCCTCCACTAACCTCCATGTCACCACCAGGAGGAGCAGAGGGCAGCAGAGGAGGCAGAAGCAGGGGATTCAGGTTCAGAGGAGGACTTGACACCTGCAGCAGATGTATCACCCTGTGGGTTCTCTGGCCAACCCATGGTGCTGCCCCTCAATGGTGATGAACCCATGGAACCCATAGAAGAGGAGAGGACCCCTGCCTCCATCTCCTCCTCCCGTAGCTTCAGTTTTGTAAGTCATTGTCATTATCCTCTAACTAACACATGGTGTGAGTGTTGTTCCCAGGCTAATGTTGTCTCATAGCAAGAGACATGTTACTTGTTCCTCTTGAAATACTTTCTCTTGTAACAAGTGACATGTTTGTTATTTGTTCCTACTTTGACATATTAACTCTTTATAACAGATGATATTTATTTGCGATTTATTCCTGCCTTAATGAACTTACTCATGATGTAAGGAACATGTTTATGTATTTGTTCCAACATATTTTTTATGTAATGTGCTCCTGCGTTGACACATTATATTTTGCAGCTTTATTTTTTTTTAGGTTGGGGTAAATTTAGCGAGACTAGATCAAAGGAATTGTGCAGTATAAACCAGTTTAGTTTCCAAATAACAGTTTAAGTTGAGATTTTTTATTTTTTACTTATTACAATTATTTACAGTACTTTAACTGCAATAGTTATGTAGTAAAAGTCAACTAATTTGGTATACCCGGTAAGTGTTTGTTTAGGCCTAAGTCACAGAGCCAGAGAATGGTAGGGTTGATGTCTCAGCTGACCTGGCCTCCGACCTCAGCTGCACCCGTTAGCTAACTCTCCACATACTTCCAGTATGTACCCTCCCTCCATCCCTTGTCTTCTATAGAGCCTCTTTGTGAGGCACAATGGTAAACTGGGCCTATACAGATCCATGCTAAACTGTTCATGATATCAAACCAGGTTGGAAGTGCAGATGTGCTATTAACTTGGCAGGTGGACATGCCCTGGCATTCGATCAATTCATCCCTGGCAGATGGGGTATGGGATCCTTGGTAGGTAGCCCACCTAGGAAAGGGTAACTCTGATGACAGTACACACTTAAATGGGAAAGGATAGGAGAAGGATAGTCCATAAGACAAACTCACTACATGGGTCAGCCAAGGAAGGCACAGAGGGCTAACAAGTACAGTATGGGGTAATTGATGCACCAGGACCCTGGTACTGTATTAGCAAAAAGTGAGCAAAGTCCAGGAAATATCTACAATAAAACCTCCATTTAATGCACATCAATCTAATGGGTATAATCCAATGTATGGAAGTTTCACATTTAACAAACCTTGATATAACAGACTACACTTTCCCACATAGTTCATTAAATAGAGGTCTCACTGTATTGCTAATTGGGGGACTAATGTGCTAGGATACAGGCACCAGTGATAATTGAGTGTAGGCCTACTGTATAGATGGCTTCATTAATTATGGGAACAATGACAGGATGGAGGGTGGAGATGGTAGAAATGATAGAGAGGAGAAGTATGAAGGTACTCTCTGTACAGGAGACGGAGTTGGAAAATAATTAGGAAAGAAATCATAATTGAGAGACAGGAAGGAAGGATACTTGCAGTGTGGAAATCCGTCAGAGACCAGGTTATGGGATACTGCCAGGGTATGAACCACAGGCTGGAAGACCACAGTAGGAGAAAGAAGTACAGGGTGAGCATGCAGTATGTATTGATAGCATTGAGATTATTGAGATCCCCATGAGTGGATAGGACAGACTGGAGAGGAAAAGCCAATGGGCATTTATGGATGAGGCACTGGAAATAGAATATGGGAAAGAACTAGTAGAAATGCTGTCAGGGAAAAAATTGGCAGTGACAAACTCCTTCCCAAAACAAAAATCACATAAGATGCCATATAAAGGTGGCAACAGTAGGACTGATATTGATTTGCTGGTTGTTGAGAGCCAGTAATGGAGGAAGAGGGTTTACAAGGCCACTGAAGGGAAGTACAGTATAATGCACTCCAGCAAAAGCTGTTGATATTTTATTTGTTAATTTGAAGAAAAAAAAACAAGGATGAGAAGGAGGGTAATTAGTTGGTGGAAGTGAATTGGGGATGATAGAGACAGGAATAGGAAAGAAGTTAGGAAAACTCTAGAGAACTGTAGAAAGATAGATTGGAAGTATAGTAGTGAGAAAACCCATGGAAGAGGGAAATAGAGAATGATAGTACCTGTAATGGAATAAGGAATCACAGCTTACAGTAAGGGAGAACAATGAAGCTAGGGAAAAAATGGAGGTGGAAATGGGCGGTACTGAGACGGAGAAAAATAATGTAGCAAGGAGGGCCGTAGAAGAGAAACAGAATTGTATGAAGAAATTGAAGATAATGTACAGGTAGGAAGAAGGTCCTAAAACTGGCAAGACGCAGGGATAAGGATTGTAAAGATACAACTCAAACAACATCAGTAAAGAACAATGTGTGGATAATAGTTTCAGGAGTGGAGATCTTGGGTGTGTGGGAGAAATGTCTTGAAGATCTGTTGAACCCACAAGGGCAAAAGGAGGATGAGATATCACACACAGTAAGGAGGGAGTTGGAGGTGATGGAAATAACAGGAAAGGAAAGGTAAAGAGTAATTTTAAGAACGTAGTGCTAGAAGGCAGCTGGAAGTGGATGGACTGACTGTGGAAATGATGCAAACAGCTGGACAGACACGAATGATGTGAATTAATTAGCTGTTTAGTTTGTTTTAAGATGGGAAATAATGCCAGAGTGATAATTCTATGAAGGAGAGGTACAGGAGATATTGGAGAACCAGAAATACATTCAGAGATATCCCTGAACTCAGTCAAATATTGAAATTGTTGGAGAGGATCTTAGATTCAAGAATTAGAAAAGGTGTAGAGGTTAATATAGGAGAGAACCAACAAGGATTTAGAAGGGAAGGGTTGTAGATGATAAGCTATACTGTATATGGGAAGACAGAGTAGAAAAGAGAGAAGAGAAAGGATTTAAAGAGATGTGGCTTTTAGGATTCATAGTCCTTAAAAAGCCATGTGATACTGAGGAGTAATGAGGTGGAGGTGACCTTGGTTGAGGGAGTATATGAAGAGACATTGGTGGTCATGAGAAACTTTTGAATAATTTGAGGTAAAAACGAACTTTCGACAGAATTATTTTACCCCTGTTCGTGTTTATAATGGTTATGGAATAAATCTGTAGGAAGGTGGTAGAACAGGAAATGAAGAAGAAAATATTGAATGTAGTCAGCTTGGCAGTTGGGGTGGAGAACAGAATACTAGTGGAATGATATGATGTCTTTGAAATATTGTACATGGACTGAAAATGAGCTTTGATGAAGTAAATGGTGGTGTGTGTAGGGAAGGATGATTTAAATTTGCAATTAACAGTGAATGACAGTGTTCTAAAACAAGTTGATATCTTTATGAATGGGGATGGTGACAATAAATGGGAGGCACACAGGAAGATATAACCAGGAACATTAGTAGCATGTAAAAGAGTAAGAGGGAATAAAATATAAGGTAAATAAAAAGGAAAAGTACTGAAGATGTGTGACATTAGGAGACGTGTGACAATGGCTTGCAGTAATGGATTAAGAACAATAGTACAGTACTGATAAAGATGCTAGAGGAAAAGCTGTAGGTTGTAGAAAACACCTGAATTCGAAAAAATATGTGAATAAAAATAGAGGAAAGAAGAAGGTTCTCAGAGGTTCAAGATGAGAATCATTTCAGAAGACAGCTAGTTGGTAGTACTGTACGTTAATTTAGACAGGACTTACACAACATATGGCGGAGGAGAGGCTGGTGATGAGAGTTTAAAAGGTAGCAGAGGAGTGGCCAAGATGGAGGAGGATTGTGGTGCAGGTAGGGATCAGTCTGTGACATACCAGTAGACCTCAACCCCCAAAGGGAAACGAGGGGAAGAAGTTTCGCAGTCTTAAGGAAGTTAGGTTTAGTTGATTCAAGTTAGGTTAAGTTGGGATCAGTTAGGTTAGGCTGTTGGAACCAAATAACAGGCTACATTAATTCTTATATTTTTTATACATGGAGTCATCTCAAGAAGTCCTTCAGTAGTGAATTTGCATTCCCGTATATCCTTTGTAGTATGGAGTGCAACGGGCGAGTGGATATAGCATTCACCTTTTATCCTTAGGGTCATCGTTTTGATGATAGGGTGCTCCCATCCACTCAGGAGCCGGTGCATGCCCAGCACTTGACAACAGTGCATAACAGAGACGTGACCAGTCGCCCAAGCGGCTAACGTGCCGATCATTTGGTGAAGAGGATAAAAGAAAAGGAAAAGTAACAGAGACGTGACCGATCTCCCAAGCGGCTAACGTGCCGATCAGTGGTGAAGAGGATAAAAGTAATAAATGGGTACCTAACTATACAGGTTGGGGTGGTGACAACAATCGACTGCAACACTGGCCATGCTGCTTCCTTACAAACTGAAGGCCTAATATATATTGTGCTGAATCCACGCTGTCCTTAACAGGCAGTCATGCCTATTGGACCCTTTTTCTTTTCCTTTGTAGTTTACAAATAGTTGAAGACTCAGGAGTTCTTGCATGAAGAGATATGTATGGCCTAGTTAGAGTTGCAAAAATGGATGTTGGTTGTATGAGAATCAAAGTCTTTTCAGTTCCTAATAAGCTTCTGGTTGTTTCTGCATGTACAATATATAGTTGTACAGTATCAATTTGTTGAATTTCTTACCTGTCTCACGTACTGATAAATTTTGTTTTCTTCCCACAGGAAAAAGAAGATTCAAAACTTTGATGCCCGGCCTGTGTCATAGTCTAAATAGTTAGATTCTTCCAATATTATTATTAGACTATTGATACAGCATAATATAGAAATTTTATGAATTTTTTGACTATATAACTGAGCTGCTGGTATCAGCCAGGCAATGGAGTGATGGACCGTGGTGGACCTACCGGGGACCCGGGGATGACCCAGGCCCCCGGAAGGTATGAGTTGATCCCTGAAACTTAAGGTCAGGAACCTAGTTTGGATTCTGTCTGGAGCTAAGATATGACTTTGTCTGTAGCTAAGGTCTGGACTTTGCATGGAGCTAAGGTCTGGAATTAAAGACTGGACTTTGCATGCATTTTGAGGTCCTGGACCTTGTCTGGAGTTTGGTCTAGACATAATTGGAATTGAGGTTTGAACTTTGCATCGATATTGGCTTGAACCTCGCCTGGAATTGAGCAATGCACCTTGCATGGAGAAGTCGAGACTTTTCCTGGAGTTCAGATCTGGAGTTTACCCAGAGTAGCGATGCAGAGCTTGCGTGAGGAGCCGAGATAGAGACTTGGCAAGAGCTTCGTGCGTCGAATTCCTCCTTAATTATATGATAAGCCAAGAGGTGTTGGCCTCTTACCACAAGGCGGTAGCAGCCACCCCAGGAACCTCAAGGAATAGGACTTCCTGCAGAATGGGCTGGACCTCCAGGAACCTGTGAAGGGCAACAAGGTGGTGCCTCTAGATTTACCCTTCAGGAACCTCCCGGGAAAGACGCTGCTGGTAGCGTCCCCCAATACGCCGGTGGTGGACTTAAAGTTTGTGAAGTATGTCCAAAAGGTTGATTATGCAGACCCCAAAGAATCAGAGTTTTGTTGATCCACTGGCAGCAGATTCTTATATATATGCGTTGTTCATACTTTTTCGTGTTATATATTGGCATAATCTATGGTGATAGTAAATATTTTTGCGGCATAATTTCAGAATTTGGTGTCGTGGATCATCCAAGTTCATGGTAATTCAGTGTTCTGGTTAATCGAGGTTTGGTGTGCCAGTAAGCAGGCAAGCAGAGGGTCTATGACCTCTGCCTTGATGCCGTAACATAGGACTCATTTACCTGTGTTTCCATGGGATTTAGAATCACTTGCGAGTGTTCAGGACAATATTTTATATTTGGTCACAATTGATTTTAATCTGATTATATTTCATAGACCGGCCACCAAACTTATTTTAAGGTCTGTATCATACAGAAAGTGACAGAGAACTAAAGAATCTAAGGATTTAATCCAAGAAAATACTCAGTATTTATAAATCAAGGAACTGAACAAGTTATTTGTCAATGTCCAAATGCCAATATGAAAATAGTCATCTAGCCCACCCTTGTGGCTAGCATTCAGTTATCTTTGCAAATCAGAAGTAAAGATTTACAAGCCTTTCAGCATCTTACTCATCTTCATCTCAAGTTCTGGTTCATACATTTAATAAGTGTACAGCCCGTGAAGACATCCCTCACAGTTTATTTTATCATTAGGTATGTGTGATCCAAAGAAGATTATTAAATAAGGAATTCTGTATTTTTACCAACCCGTAGCATCTTATAGGTCATTCATAATTTTATTGTTCTAATGACTTAATTATCCTTGTAATGTAGAACACGGTACTTGGCATGTGAATGTGATCTTCCACAATCTTACGCGATATTTTGCCATATGAATGTGATCTTCCAAAAGTCTTGTCCACGTAAACAGGCGGTAAATTCCTACTTGGCTGCCACCAACTGCTCCTCCAGGGGGTGGTGGGGCTGAAGGCTTCCAGCTTCGTCTCCAGCCGTCTAGTCTTCAGGAACTTAAGTGTTCAATGGACGGTCGAAGCCAAAACTGATACTTGTGGTGAGTGTCTCGTTGAGGTTGACACTAAGAGAACCAAAGGGGTTGTGCTATTGAGCTTCGTATGTGCCAAAGACTGAAACCTAATTATCCCTAAGTTCGTCCAGAGTACAGTATTCGGTCTTAATTAACATTCATGCCTAAGGCCATCAGTCTAAAGAAAACAACAGAAAAATGCTCTTGGTAGGAAAGTGATAACAGAATTAGAGTGATAGAGTTGCGATGCTGAACAAAGTGTTTTAGCGAGGCACTAACCAAAGTAATGTACACATGGCTCGATCATTCACCATCAAACATGATGAGGCTATAGGACCTCGAGATGACTCGGTCGTCTGCAGGTGGAGGAAAGACGAGCCAATGTGAGAATGGTGCTCCCGTCGACAGTGTCTCTGGTGTGTAGGTGTTCCTGAGGTGCTCTTGCTGGTGTAAGAGTGTCTGAGTCAGTCTCACCTTTGTAAGGGTGCTCTTGAGTCAGTCCCTCCTGCGTGAGAGGAGTCTGATATCGGTCCTCCAAGATGCACAGATGCTTCTCAGTCAGTCATCAATGTCGTCAGATGCAAGGGGTGAAGTTGGGCCTTGAGAGCCTTTTGACATGAGGGGGTGTAGCAGTCGTCTTTCCTATGTACAAGTGCTTCTGTTGTCTCTGTTTATGATGAGAATTTGTCTATAAAGATTTGATGAAAAGTGTAATGGTCTCTCTCTCTCTCTGAGATGGGGAAGACACGAGTCAAGTCATATGATATATAGATGAATCTTCACAGTCTTTCCTCTGTACTAATGGAACTGTGCTCCTTAAACTCTATTTATGTCCGGTGCATGTCTCCTTCATATGAGGCAATTTCTCTGATCTGTATGATAATTGTCACATATTGTCAAAGTTTCTCGACTTTACCCTTAGACCGTGATGGTGCCTCGGTGAGTGGCAACAGTGTCAAAGTGATGTTTGCTACACATTGATCATCTTTATTGAAGCAAATTTGTTATGATGCATCAACCAAATTTGATAAAAGTATTCGAATCGGTGTTATAATTTCTCATCGCAAACATGAAGACAATAGCTTGTGGATAGACTGAGATAATAGATTAAAATTAATTTGAAGCCTTGAGGTAGGATTTTTCTCGTCTTATTGTAAAGAAAGTAAGGGAGACATAGCAGGTTGCCATGATTCAGCATGTTTCACCCCATGACACCATGGAGAGCAGCGATCATGTGATGGCTACTGAGAGCATCTGGGTAAAGGGATACCGGGCTAGTATGTTTTTGTACATGGATAGAAGTGTTGAGATTCCTCTCTCCTCAAGATTATTTTGTGATTCTTTATGCCGCCAGTATAGCCACCTGTTACGGCTGACTGCAAGGTAAACAGCACCTGGTCACACCTGTGTATTAGCTGATTGCATATGTTTTAAATGATTTACATGTGTGTGTCACCTAATCACTAAGTATATACATAAATTGAACATCAGCAGTGACCACCTTTTATGCATTAGCTGTGACCACACTGTGTACATCAGCAATGACTGCCTTATGTATATCATCTGCGACCACTGTGTACATCAGCTATGACTATCTTATGTATATTAGCTGTGACCACCTCGTGTATGTCACATGCGACCTCTTTATGTACATCAGTTTTGACCAGCTTGTGTACATCAGCTGTAACCATTGTGTACATCAACTGTAACCATTGTGTTCATTAGCTGTAACATTGTGTACATCAGTTATGATCATTTTGCATACATCACTTGTGACCACCTCATGTACATCAGCTCTGACCACCTTATGTATGTCAGCTACGACTACCGCGTGTAAATCAGTTGATTGATTACCTTGTGCATGTCAGCTGATCCATGTAAACAAACCTGTTGAAACTTTTTCCGCCATATGCGTCACAATAAACAAAATCTCTGTGCCAATACATCTTCATCTTCCTCTTATCTGTTGATTATGTAAATGCGGGAAGCCCAGACCAGAGGAGGAAGCTTTAGAGGTACGTACTGTAATAATAGTGATGTTGTGGATGTTATGAGTCATGGTGAATTTTTATATGGATTTGTATTTTTATTTTATTTATTTATTTATTTATTTATTTATTGTTATTATTATTTATTTTATTTTTTTTTTTTTTTTTTTGGGGGGGGGGGGAGTTCAAGGTAGGCTATAGACTTTTAGATGATGTCCTCATTGAGAATATTAAACAGATTATGCAGAGTTCAATCATGGAGAAGTCTTACTGCAGAGAGTTCACTCGTGGAGAGAACTTTCAGCACAAAGAGATCACGTGTGAAGAGAATTTACAGTGCAGGGTTCACTCATGGAAAGAACTTGCGGTGGTGGGAACTTACACATGGAGTAAACTTTCTGCATATATAAATGAAAATAAGTTTGAAAGTTGGTCAAATGACACACATAACTTACATGTACTAAAATCATACTGATAAATATACATACAGTACTGACACTAACACAAGTACAAAAAAGGTATAAACACTATGCTTGTATGTATAGGTATCCCTCGATGTATGAATGGGTTAGGGTCCTAAAAAAACATTTTTAAGTGAATTTTTTAATAAGAATATAAGAATACAGGTATCCTGTGATTTACAATCTCCCAATTAAAAATACTGTATTTTGCTTTAGCGATAGTATTGATGTTTTATGACCACCTCCCTATACAGTACAGTATATGATAAAAAAATACCATGAACAATAGCCGTCATCCAGCCAAACTTACAGAAGCATGGAATACTGTGCAGGTATCCCATTTTTAATAATTGGGGTGCGTTCCTGAAAACCCATCATTAATGCAAAATGATCAGTAAACGAGGGATAACAAGAAATAATATCTTAAATGAGGAATAATATCCCTGTCTCTCTCTCCACACTAGAGGCAACTGCACCACTCTTTGCATGATCTTGTCAGCACGCTTATATAAAGTGTGGTGAAAGTAGAAGCAGCTAGACCAAGATCCTTCTTAATCTTTGCAGGGTCATCACCACATTCATGACATTTACCTCCAGCCGGGTCTTAAGAGTCAGTCTTTCGTATTTTCTTCGGTGCAGTATGGGTAGCCGAAGAATCCGCAGAACGTTTGGATTCCATAACGAAAGGATGGCACGAATACACCCGTATAAAGAGATATCACTGCACACACAAAATGAATGGTGGAAGGAAAGACACAGGCTTGTGGGAGATGCAGGAGGGGGGAGGGGGGGGGTATGATCAGTGAGGGAGAATACGTCTGTGTATCTCTCCCCCAAGATAGCCACCCATGATGACTTTCGGGACCCAAATTCGTATAAGCAGGGGAAGCTTTCATATCTCGAAACAGTGGTGTCAATTTAGGACATTTGTATAAACGAATATTTGTATCTCAACGTTCGTATAGCGAGGGATACCTACAGGTATATACACCAATGTATCAAGTACTCACAAGCTGATACTTCTTCACATAAATTAACACACACACTGTACTGGCATATGAATATACTCACACACACACACACACACATACACACTTGTTTACACAGTAAACCACACACACATACACACTTGTTTACACAGTAAACCACACACACACACATACACACTTTCTCACATATCAATATAAATTAAGATATACATACAAGCACATACACCAGCTTAGTAATGTGAAACAAAAAAAGTTGGGATATGACAAAATTCTACCCTCAAAATTTTAAAATGTCAACATATAAAGGGGTTTGAGCTGTGTATAGTTAGGGCAATATATACAGTATTATTGTTTCGATTGAAGATTATGAAAGAGAATGTACAGTATTGTATTACTGGGATTTTTAGTATTACTGGTTCTTAAAGATTTTTTAATGCAATTATCGACTGGTATGAAGTTAATAAGGAGTATTGAATGAGTAGGAGAAACATGGTGTGTGTGTGCGCGCGCGCGTTTGTGTGACGGATGTGGTGGTGGTGTGTGTGCACGCGTGTGTGACGGATGTGGTGGTGTGTGTGTGTGTGTGTGAGAAAGACGGATGTGGTGGTGGTGGTGGTGTGTGTGTGGACAACTAGTGCTGTAGTGGCAGGATAAGCTACCTCATAATATGGTCACTGACAACCCGTTCTCTCTCTCTCTCTCTCCAATTTTATTTGATGTGTCAGAATATCACCACCCGGGACAGGTGCCTCTTCTTCCTGGCGCTGGGACATATTTTTGTTGATCCAGTTGTATTTATGTATGAAAGTGTTAGCCATAACTATTATAATCAGGTGGAAACTAAGAAAAGTTTATATTTTCATGTAGTTTGAGATGTCCATGTACTGCATTTTCGGTATCTGTGTGATGTAAATGGCTCATCGTTGGCCCCTCCCCCCCGTGGTGGCGTGTCCGTCCTCCCCTTCCCCTCCCTCCTGTGCTCCCTCTCCCTGATGAGGGTGTTGAAGGAGAGGGGTAGGGAGGGGTGGACCCCTCCACCAGGGGAGACCTGTGTACGTGTCATGTAATAAAGGAGAAATGAAGATTTGTGTTGTTATTTACCCTTGATGAATAACCTAAAGTAGATTTATAGGTCATATACATGCACCTGAGTGTGTATGGGAGTCTGCAGGGGCTTGCAATGAAAAATTATGTTTTCCACAGTTCATGTTCACTATGTGTATGATAAAAATTTTTAAGTGAACTGTTTGGTCCTTAACGTTCCCACAACGGACCCTTGTGGTAAGATGGTACTTTTGACAATTCCTCTGGTGGTTTATTAAATTAAAATAATTATAATATAGAATATACAGTAATGTAATAGTTATCGGAAATGGGTTCAATTTTCAAAGTAATGTGCAGGTACAGTATTTCTTTCTCTCTCTATTATGCATCAGCCAATAAGCAGCAAGGCGGCGAGAAGTCATTTGCATGTGGCACAGTGGCAGCTATGATCAGCGTCAGTGATTACCCAATTATAGGTGAGTTACATAATGCTTATTAGTTGTCTTAGAGACATGGATTTGAATATCACAGAGGCTCGTTTTAGAACCAAACCGTTAACTACTAACAAATAGGTTTTCCTAGTGTATTTTGTGTTGTTTCAAACTAATCAAAGTGGGCAGTGCTTTAAAGTAGAGAGAAAATGTGGGGTAAAAACTAAAAAGAACAATACAAAAACTTTTCAAAGCCTTACCTCACATTTCCTAACTTGTATAATGGTTAATAAGTGACAGTATCATAAGATTGCGTAGAATTGTGTGTATACATGCACAAAGACCGTGAAAGACCATAATTTTGTGTAAGTTCGATTCCCCATTTTTAGACAATAAACAAATTGGCCTTGGTAGATCTAAACATACAAATTAGTCTATTAAAATAGTTGTTTTTCTTCCCGCCCTGTATATATTGTATAAATATTGTGGTAGTATACTGACCTCAAAAAATCCGAGAAATTGGTCAAATTCCAAAATTTTCTCGGGGAGGAGGGGGTGCACACAGCTGCTGAGCTCACCCACTGGCTAAGCTTTACCCGTGCGTTCCCTCACTATTTTAGCTAGGACTACACCACTTTTACTTACTCTTTCTTTTATCCTCTTCACCACTTATCGATTTGTTAGCCGCTTGGGCGATCGGTCACGTCTCTGTTACGCACTGTTGGCAAGTACTGGGCATGCACTGGCTCCTGAATGTATCTGAACCTGCTCCAGTGTTGGTCAAGTCTGGTCTTGAAAGAGTTCACACTCGGTGCCGTCACCCCACACTCTGGCAGATTGTTCCAGGAGTTCACAACTCACCTGAAAAGTTACCCCTCACAGTTATCCGGACTTGCTGCTTCTTTAACCTTGAGTTGTACCCCTATGTGGGGCGAGCGTCCGCCAGCTCCAAGTAACGACACTCGGCTGAGATGCTTATACACCTCAAATCACATCTCCCCTTGCCCGTCTGTAGTACAAGCTCGGCAAGTTCAGGCGCTCCAATCTCTCAGGGTAGCTGAGGTGCCGCAGTGCAGGCACCAATCTGGTGGCCCTCCTTTGGACGTTTTCAATTAGCTGACAGTCCCTAGCATATCTCGGGGACCAGACAGGATGACAATACTCCAGGCTGGGAAGTACTTCACTCTTGAAGATCGTTAGGAGGGACGGCACATCTTGATATCTGAACGACCTTCTTATAAGACCTAATAACTTAGGTGCCAGTTTTACCTTTTTCTCGCAATGGCCCGAGAACTTCAGTTCATTGTCAACGTACACACCCAGGTCCTTTTCACAATCCGTCTCAGTTAATGCAGTCTCTTCGTCCCGTTGGGACATATGATATGCCTCCTTACCGTTGGTACGTCCCAGGTGCATCCTCTTACACTTCGTGACATTGAATCTGAGCAGCCATTTCTTCGACCATTCTTGAAGCTCACAGAGATCCTTCTGCAGCTTTTGACAGTCCGCTTGGTTCTTAATTTCTCGAAATAACCTGCGTTTGCCAATCCTCTCTCTCCCTGAGGTTTGCACGGTTCCATAACAAAACCCCAACGGGGTTGTCATTTGTCAACACTAACCTAACCTAAACATAAAGGTGTTTCATTTTTTTATATATGCGACTGGGGTTTTGTCCGTTGGGGTTTTATCCGGTCACCGGTCTGAACCCCGAACTCAGAAATGTGAATTCAAAGCATTTGTGAGATAGCGGGAGGGAGGGCGGAGGGGTGTGTCGGGGTTGGTGTGACGGACGGTGTCTCGGCGGGGAGGAGACTGGGTACTAGTGAAGGGATGAGGACGGAAACTGTATATCAGTTGGGAGAGATTGCATTGCAGGATAACGTTTTGACAATGTTGGGAGTAATCGTCTAGACTCTAGTACTAGCCAGATGAGTATACTAAAATTACAATAGCATGAGAGGGGGATGAAATCATATTCTAAGTAAGTTGTTACTTTGCAAAAGGGGATATTAATGAGCAAATGGATTATGGACATGTTTGAATATCTATCCTGTAGAAGCAGCAAAGTTTTGTTGAACCCCTTGACTACGAGATGGAACCTCCCCAGCCAGAATAAAATAGGTAAAAAGACATCGTAGTGAAGGAATTCATTAGCAATCATAGGATAATCCTGGTCATGGTCGTGGAGTGTTGCGCACACCGTCTGAACTATCAAATCAACTACCATTGAATGGTTTGGGGAGGGGGGAGGGAGGGGAGGGGTGTCCGATCACCGGACTCTAATGAATCCCCGGCTTCGACAAGGCCAGGATACAAACTTCGGATCGCGACTGTGCATTATATTGACATATTTGGTACTCGGTTATTATTTATATTACTGTATTTATATTTTTAGTGCATTGTTTTAAAATCCTGGATCCACCCCATGCGGTTTGGAAGGTTGAACTGCGCTTCACTTCACATGATTCGAACCAATTTTAGTTGACAAAGGCCGCCAGGGCCAGACGTTAGTTTGTATTCACAAGTCGGTGGGGTCGGTTGTTGGCGTTTGGTGCTAGATAATTATGATATTTAATCGCTGACAGGAACAGCCACGGACGTCAACAGCCACGGGCATCAACAGACGACAGCCACGGGCGTCTACAGACGGTGGCCACGCCACGGATGGGAATAACTGCCTGGCACAGATTATTGTGGTACAGTGAGATTTGTTTGTAGGTGATGTGTTGCGCGAGGACGTAAAGGTGTACAGTACGGGACTAAAGGTCATACAGTACACACTGACAAAAACAGGTATTAACAGTGAGCTCAGGTTTGTAGGACTTGGATTGTACTGTACGAGTGTTAGTTGACTGAAATGGAAAATTAAGCCCGCGAATTAGGTGTCCCAATAATCTTGAAACTGAAAAATATACGTTAGTTATCCATAAGCTTCGCAGGTGTGTAACTATTGACGACTTGTAACGTAAAGTCGATTCATATGTTATTGGTTTAAGCTGTGGCTTCTTTGTTGTTATAATGTTATTACTGCGCTTCAACAACTAAGGTCTTTTAGCTCGTAACGAGTAGTAATTCCCCTATTTTATCAACAACCCCTTCGATAAATTGAGGTCATAGGTTATGGACGTATTCCGTTAAATAATGGCATTCATTTTTGTGTGCTCGTTGTTTGTAAATATTTCTAAATAAATAAGTTTAGGGAAAAAATATTGCTACATTATTGATTCTTCAAATTCATTTTATATTAGGTTTCAAAGAAATCAATAATTTAAAAAAATCGAAATTGTAATGAACAGCTTTCAGTGGCATTGTAGTATGCAAGTTGGCAATGGTAAGGTGTTGCTGATCCAAGTAAACGAAGAATCATTAATGAAGAAAGTAGTGTGTTTACAGAACAGCAGTAAAACAGTTAATTGGATTTGCGGGTCATTTACCCGATTGTGATTTTCGCAAGCATCACCAATATTTAACTGAACGCATTTTACACATCATGAATAGGCACGTAGCTTATGCCAATACGAAATTCAACGGGATAGTACAGAGGGATTCGAAGGGAGGTCTCAGTTTCTTGCATTCGTAAAAATTTAACCTAAATTTACACTTGAAAACCTTTTGTTGGTCATGATTCAAATCATCATTTATTGGGGATTAGATTAATGAAAGAAGATACTGTATTGCCTTTATTACGTTCAAAGAATTCTGACGTGTTTTATTTGTACAGTATGAATAAGATGAAATTATTTATAACTCATTGTATATACTGTACAGCACGCGCTTCATGTATTTTTAGTAAATGCATAGCGAAACTTAAGTGCTTTGTAGATAGTCTTGGAATATAATTTCAAGCAAATGTCAAAGTACATCACTATGATAATTTTTTTTTGCCATGAAAGAATAATCAGTTATCGCCAAAGAATTGGTTGTCATGTTCAGTTTGTCGATGAAGTTTTGCGCATGATACATGTTGACAGTCGTTAATTTAAGGTTAAGCAACGCATGTACTGTAAATGTTATTACAATAACGCTAGTTACAACGTTACTCTTTGATTACGTTATTCATAGCCTTACTGACAGTGTCTTGTTACGTTGTTTCAATTACATGTTCACTTCGACGAAGTCATGTTGTCTGCTGTATAATATTGTCATTTTTTTAGGCTTATGTTAACCTTCACCGTGCCATGGCTGGCTATGTTTGAAATGTAAGTGGTGAGAGTGGAGAAGAACAACGTAGCGACATCCTCTGTCACTTTCGTGGAGTAGTAGTCCAGAGAAACCATGAAGCGATTCCGGAAGGTGTGGAAGCCCAGCGTGTACGGGCTGCCTGTAAACTCGCTCGACACTGATCTCAGGAGGTTAGTGATCTCCACGGGTCCGTCGCCGTATTTACTTGGCAACAGGTCCCGGAGGTCCCCCATATTGGTGGTTACGAAGTGGCTATCAGTACAGTGCTTGCGGCCCCTACGGGTCAGCTCTTTGTTGATTAAGAGCGGTAGTATGGATGCCTGGAACAGCGGACTGTTTCTAATGGGGTTCTTGTCCACATTGAGACGCTTTCTCAGGTCATTGTGCATTCGTTTCGCCAAGGCCCAGAAATTCTCCTTGCTGTTGGCGTCGCTGCTGTGGATAAGGATTTCTCTCTCTTCCATGGATATATGGCAGCCTGGAAATTCCTTGTACGCAAGAGGGTAATAACGGCGCATGTTGACACAGTTTATTCCGTTGATCTTGACCGCTTCCACTGTTACCTCTGAGCGTTGCTGGACCACATTTAAGATGGCTAGGTTAGCTGCCGCCAAGATGCAAGAATGAACTGTAACTTCTGCTTCTTTACACCGTTGCAATAGTTGCTGTGTCATCTCGACAGTAAACTCTTCATGCATCACCCTGGTGAAAGCTAATTTGGTCTCTGGCTGCGGAAGAGCGCCATTGAAATATAACTTGTTGTTGTAACTTTTAATAATGGTAGCGTAAAATTTGCTACAGAAGTACATAAAGATGTAATACCAGTCGGCCCTGGTAACTAACTCATCGGTGATGGCCGGAATGACAGGGCGGGAGGGTACCTGGTGGTTCCGCCCGCTCATAATGGCATTCAGCACCTCCACTGTGTTCCGGCAGATGACCATATTCGTGAGGCCATCCGTGATGCAGTGATGTGCGTTGATTATCAGGACAGCTTCATGGAGACTTGGTGAACGTGGTGGGAGGGGCACGAGCCGCGCCCTCCACAGTGGTCCCCGAGACATATCGTAGGGCGCATGCTGTGTCTTGTAGAACACCGACATGACATCGTCAAGCTCCACTTTGAAGGGGACTATGAGGTGCTTCAACCGGCGGAACCAAGGCCTTAGTCCCCGCCACACCACACAAAGCTGCAGTACCTGCATCTGGCTGCCAGGGAACAATACCAACTGTAACAAAACAATAATGAGGACACACTCGCCCTGTCTCACACCTTCAGAATTGCATATGCAAAATTTCTGGTAAAATAAGAAAAAACTAACTTAACTGGATTTGTAGAATACTGTACTGGGTGTCTATTCGGCAGGGAAAAATTTTCGTTTTTTTTAAAGGTTGTGATACTGTACTCGGAGTTTTTATTAACAATATTGCAGTGTTGAATGTGTTGCTTAATTTTATCGCGGTTAAGTTTTAGCCATTGGTCGTCTCCATGGTGGGCCATGTTGATGCAACAACATAGTCAAAACTGCAAACTTGCAGATATCCCGGTACCCCGCAGGTGAACAGATATGACCATTACTGTGCAAATATATCCCAAAGTGTAGAAATAGGTGCATAATCGTATAGACCTACCCATTTATACTCACCTGTTATCATGTAAACTCACATATATAGAGATACTCACTGGGCGACGACGGTGAGGGCGCGCCTCACTGCTTCCGCAGGGATGGGCGTGGGGGAGGCGAGCCACACACCCTGCACGGTGTTGAGGGTCCCAAACTGACCCCCAGCCGCCATGAGTCCCTCCAGGTAACCCAGCCGCCTCACCCACTCCCCAGGACCAACCACCTTCCCCTTGCACTCTGACTCCATCGACTCAGATTCAGACATTCTGGGCGCGGGTTTACATCTCTCACTGTCTGTTTTAAGGTTTTTGGGTTTGGTTATCTGATCTGTAATGATAAGAGAAAAGGGATATAAAATAATCCGTGGATTCATGTTTGTGTATTCCAAGTCCCGTTTCGGTACCAGATTTAAATTCTATGTGACAGGTTAGGTTGAGATGAATTTAAGGTCTTTAATCAGTTTACGAGCCAACTTGGATTGCAGTTTTAGCCATTTGTGAAAGTGGGTCCCATAAGAATGACTGCCCGTTAAGGACAGTGTAGATACAGTTCACTGTACTGTACTGAGCCTTCGGTACTCAAGGAAGCAGCATGGTCGGTACTGCTCTCGACCGCCTTCCTTTTCCCAAGTAAATTTAGATACTCATTTACAGCCGGATAAACTGGGATCGCCCGGGAACAGAAGGCCAACTCTGTCTCCTCCACTGGACCGCCGCTCTCCGCAGCCAACTGAACATCCACCTTAATATAAAATCAAGACTTGACTTTGTTTTGAATATTGCTTTTGAGGTTTCTTGGTGTTGTGGAGCATCAAGAGTGTTTATAAATCCACTAAGATAGCAATGAAAACATTCCTCACTTGCCCATTTCACCAATCACGGCAGTGTCTCATTTGTCACATGGTATCTGAGTCTGGATTTCGACGATTTGTAGAACCCTTCTCACAACATTACCCGTGCCGTGAGTCTTCGAACACACACCACCTTGCTCTGATCACTCCTGGAGCAATTAGCCGTATCTCTAATGCGAGTATCCGTCCTTCACCCTACACGTGTAGATATAGAGAGACCCATCCCTCTTACCCTGTGCAGTGTGTCTTGTTGACGCCATTCAATTTCCTCACTGTAGGGTACGTTGTATATTGTGTCATGTGCTCACAACACCCACATCTCTTGCCCCCGTAAACAGAAGAGTGTACTGTATAGTACAGTACGTTGTTTGTTCAGAACACTCACCTCCTTCATCCTGGTCCAGTTGATGTTGGTGGAAGTGCTCACTATTCTCGTTTTGATCCTTAGTAGTGTGCTGGTGGCCGTCATACCAGTACATCGCCGCCTGCAAGGTTAATAGAGGTGTCAGTCATTATAAATCCCTTTTCTTGTGGTCTGCATGTCATTTGAATGGCTTGTATGATATTACCAGGCTGACACGCCTCCCCCCCCCCCCCTTTCCTCTTGCTCCTTGTTTTAGAGATGTGAACAACAACTCCCTCATTTAGACTGACTGCTTCCAAAGCCCAGGAAGTCAACAGGTACCCCAAGGTAAATCTGAATAATGTATCTTAGGTCCCGAACATTGAAATGCAGAAAGCACAGTTTTGTTTGTGTTTTTGCCTGGTGCCACGTTGTCAGGACATGTCGACTTTCAACCATACTCCTTACAGAACTAGACTACATTTAAAAACAAAAATTCTCAAGCAGTGTTTATTTTAAGGTGTTTGGCGGTGATTCATCCATTTTATTTAGCTGTGCAAGTAGATTTTTTTTACGATGACGTCAATGGATTCCAGATGAGGTCAGTGACGGGACCGACTTGTCTAAACTAATGTGCTTCAGTCGCAGTACTGTATAGCTTTTGAAGTCAGCTCGGTCTTCACTAGTAATTAAGCT